AATATCTTCTGATTTATTTCGTTGCGGGATCCAAGACAGTCATTCATGTCCCCGGGACGCGCCGGACTTCAGTGTTCCGGTGTTTTCATGGTTGTATCTACTGTAGATCCTGGCTTACAGGAGTTGCAGCGGTTTTGGGAGGTTGCAGCGGGACTGTCCCATTTAAAAGGCATACGAAAAAATTATGTAGCTTTAATAGGGTGCCACAACTTTGACAAAAACTAAAATTCATATGGGAAAATAATTAATTCGTATTGGGAAATTAGGCAATTGTAGTACCTGTCCATTAGCATTGACAAAAGATTGGACTACCTCAAGGAGTGCACAGCACTGATGGTCACACTATACAGGAACTTTCTCACACGAGTGCAAAAAAGCAAATGTCGTTAACAGAGAAATAAGACAATCGGAAATGAAATGAAATGACCTATTGCCATTCTTTCCACCTTTGCCAAGATATTTGAGTCCGTGATATGCGCTCACACAGCATCATTTCGACCTATAACTGAGTGATCGTCAGCACGGTTTAGTGGTGGCAAGATCTACTGCCACAAATATGCTGCACTTCACTGAATCCCTTATTGAAGTAGTTGACTTTAACAAGCAATTTGACGTGATATACACTGACTGCAGCAAGGCCTTTGACACAATTTCTCATTCCGTACTTGTCAACAAACTGCCTTTGTACGGTATCGCTGGGCCATTGTTAGAATGGTTTAAGTCGTATATAACTAAACATTACTATGTTTTTTCAACGGTTTTTGATGTACTTAAAGTTAATGTTTGACCTCTGGTGTTCCGCAGGGTTCACATTTGGGTCCGATTTTATATATTATGTTCATTGTTACAAGTAGACTGTAAAATTGCGGGAAGATTAGTCACATTCTTAGAAAACTTACAATTGTAATAGGACTTATGTGAATGCACCAAAATTTGTTCTACATTCTACAAGTTCCATATAATAAACTACAGCGGATGAGACATTTAAATAACATTTAATAATTAATTAATTAGGTACTAATTACTCCCAGAGAATATAATGGGCGGACTACTAGTGTTGCATTATCGCTGTCAAACATTCGCAGTCAACAAGTTTAAATGATAGTAATTTTCGCTTAAAGTTGGTTAAGAAACTGGCCTACATAATGGTTCACCTCCAAATATGTATTTTCCAGCCGCTCTTTTTCGGATGGATACAACTGATAACGGAGGCAGCTTGATAGAAGATTCTCATCTACACTGCCATTAAGTTACAGGTTTATCCTAGACCTAGCTGCAGAAGCAGCTAGTGGCTTAAACAGTCTTGCAATTTTGTTTTGACCGCGTTGATGTTAAAAAGTTAGCAGAAAAATTTAGTCTCGTGTTGTAATACACAGCAGCACGCAAGAGCACTCCAACATCTACGGAGAGTAATCCAACGAGCACGGATAGGGTCTCAGTGCTAACTGTCCTGTAAGCCTTACGTACACAGAAAAATTAAAGCCTTTTCTGCAAACTTTCTACAACTTTCTTTCGCACGACACGATCAAAACAAAACGCCTTGAAAAAGCATCCGTTGTACCACACCTATTGTCACCCAATCAGCTCACACAGGTGACAAAAAACGATAATTGTGCGATGCAAGTAAAGGGAAGAGTGCTGTGGCATGGACACGTATTACGAATAAACACGAGATGCCATGCTGAACCCAAATCATTTGAAATGAAGATGAGAAGATTAAAAGTAAATAATCCCACATTAATGACCTTGAGGTACTGATTGACAAGCTTGCATGAGTTTGTCGAGACAGTCAGCAAGCTGGCGGTGCGAGGTGCCGAGCTGGCGGCGCGCGTCCGGGAGCTGAGCTGTGTGAGGCTCGCACGACGCCGTCAGCTCGTCCGCGCAGACACGCAGCTTCTGCGCCGCTGAGATCAACTGCTTCTGGCACTGAGGGTCGCTGATCGTCGGAGCTGTCATCTAATAAATAGGAGGATTTAGTTACAGAAGAGCGTTGTATCAATGTTTATAATGTAGCCTTCTTCGCATGACGGTCCTACTTGCGCGACAGTGAGCAGTGCCTGCGCGGCGTCTGCAGCGCTGGCCCCGCAGCGGTCCAGCGCCGCAGCTGCGCCTGCATCTGCCACGCGCTCCGTCAGCTGCTGCACCTGGCTCAGCAGCTCCGACGCCTTGCCGCATGAAGTCGCGGCCAAAGCCATCACCTGCAAACAAAACATTCAAATTGTTCCCAATGCTATAGCACTAAACCTCTAACAGACCGGGCTCCTCACCTGTTTCTCGTGAGCATCCTGTGCCTTGGGGCTCACGACGTATACCAACTTGCCTGACGCCGCGGAGAACTTGGCGGCAGCGTCGCTGACTCCCTGCAGCAAGAAGAAGTCATTCATCGCTCTTAGACATTCAGTCACGTGCACAGTAAGTTACCCACACAGAGCCCCACCAACCTGTGCCTGCCCCGCGTGCTCACACAGCTCCTGCGTGGCCTCGCACAGCGCGCGCAGCTCCTGCAGCATGGCCGCCTGCTCCGCGTCTGACTTCGTGCCGCATAGCGTGCGGGACTCTGCAGACAATACGACAGTTGATCGGGCTGACACGAGGAGAGAGTTGTGGCAGAACAATATCGATAAGAATGAATCGGTTCGACGACTGACCTTGTACCACTTGCGGCATGAGTTGGGCAATCTGCTGGATGGCCTGGTCCGCCGCCGCGTAGTCGGGGTGCTCACGGTCTGCGGACAGGCGACGCGTTAGTAGCGACCTGTACTATGTAAGGGCCATGGATTATTATTGTACATGAGCCAGTCTCCACAGACCTGCGGTGGCAGCAGTGAGCGCGGCCACGGCGGCGTTGAGCTGCGCCACGCGCGCCCCGAGCCTGCGCTGTAGCGCCGCGCCGGCATCTTCCTTCATCAGCTGACACACCAACGGCTGGCGACACACACACATTGTACCACACGTCACACCCCACCATGGCTATCAGGAACATAATGCCTCGACAGGAACTCACCTCTTTCAGCAGTTGCTCAGCCGCAGTCAGGCGACCCTTGGCACCTGACGCACTGTTGATGAACTTCAGACGTTGCTGCTCTTGTTGTTCTGAGCTGGCAGCACCTATAGTACCTGAGATATAAGTATTGTTTTTAAATAATCCAACATTATCAACGTGCCTCTGAGTCTATCTGGATTGTTCCGAACTAAACCTCTGATCAAACTAATTTTCTATGCTTTAGAACATTTTCACTACAGGGCATTTCACAGAGGCCATAAGATTTGTTTTATTTTAAGCATATGGCGGCAAACAAATATGCACCGCCGATGGATGAATGGATCATCATCATCTTATTAGCCATAGGACGTCCACTGCTGAAAATTGGCCTTCCCCGTTGACTTCCAGATAGAAACGACCTTCATCCAGCGGTTTCCTGCGACCTTAATCAAGTCATCTGTCCACATTACGGGTGGACATCCTACGCTGCGCTTGCCGGTACGTGGCCTCCACTCGAGAACCTTTCTGCCCCAGCGGCCGTCTTTTCTACGCGCTATGTGCCCTGCCCATTGCCACTTCAACTTACTAATCCGTTGGGCTATGTCGGCAACCTTTGTTCGTTTGCGGGCATTCTCGTCTTTTATTCGGTCTCGCAAAGAAACTCCGAGCATAGCCCTTTCCACAGTGAGAGACCACGCCTTAGTTCAATTATAATAGATCATCGCTGGTAACACAGATTGATTAACACTTTCGTCTTAAGGCACCGAGGTATGTCGGATGAGAAGATGCTGCGTAGTTTCCCGAACGCTGCCCATCCAAGTTGGATTCGACAATTGACCTCCTTCTCGAAATTGGACCTACCTAGCTGGTCATTCGTCAACAATTTCGAGGTTAGAGCTGTTATCGGATAGGGCGTTTGACATGACTTTCGTCTTGTCCATGTTCATTCGGAGCCCTACCTGTTGAGAAACTCTATAGTGGTCATCGAGCATTGTGCTCAGATCCTCCAGCGATTCTGCCATGACCGCAATATCGTCGGCAAACCGGAGGTGAGTGATGTACTCGCCGTTGATGTTGATGCCAGGTCCTTTCCATTCCAAGAGCTTGAAGGCGTCTTCCAGTGCAGAGGTAAACAGTTTCGGCGATATAACGTCTCCTCGCCTTACACCTCGCTGCAGAGGAATATCCTTCGTGCTCTGGTTCTGTACTTGGACCGACATAGTGGCGTTTGTGTACAAGCACTTCAAAACTTCGATGTACCGAAGGTCAATATGGCACCGCTGGAGAGACCTTAACACTGCCCAATTCTGACCTTAACACCTGACCTTAACACAAATGCCAAGCATAGTGGCAAGTTATACTCCTCGATCTTCTGTATAACTTGCCGCAACGTATAGATGTGGTCTATGGTACTAAAGCCTTTCCGGAAACCTGCTTGTTCCGGAGGCTGGAAGTCATCGAACCTACGTGTGAGACGATTCGTGATGATCCTCGAAAATAGCTTGTAAACATGGATCTTCCAATTAGACCCTGACAGGCACGTTTGAACGTCAAACAAAATTTTGAAGATATAGTGTCAGTCTGTCCTCTTAGTGAAGCTATTTGCTCATTCCAAAGTGGTTACTCTTTTTAAATCAGTTTCACATACAGATTCCTTTTACAAACAGTTGGTTTAAAATATGCGAGAACAGTTCAACACTAATATTTATTCAGAGAAATATAAAAAGAAAATAACCTTAAGGACAATAGATAGTCCGGAGCTGACCAGTCCCAACCGACGGCGGGGAATATTATAGGGAATTAAGCGATCCAGCGCCTGTGCCACCGCCGGTGTGACCTTTGAGTGAGCATGACAACTCCAAGTCGATATAAGGACCAACATTCTGCTAGTCTAACCAATTGTAATAGGTTACAGGGCACTCACATTTACAAATTTATCAAGTTATAGTTATACAATATAACGCAATTTCACTAAATTTGAGATGTTTCGTTCAAGCGAAATCCACTGGAACGTTATTTATTTTGATGTAGGTTTGCTATCCCGTGGAGCAGGACTAGCATGTCTCCAAGCATCTTTATCTACAATATAATCATTCAGTGCTTGTCTACATAAAGTTTTCTTTGCGCATAATTTTAAATTTCCTTCATTTAATTGTTGTATTTCGCCTGGAATAACATTTAACACAGAATCCCATGAACGACTTGTGTGCCAATCTAAATAACGGCTGACATAACATATCTCTATGTCTAGTTTGATAATTATGTCTATCTGACACCTTATCAAATAATTTTAAGTTTTGCCAAACATACATAATGTTTTCATAAATAAACTGACATGGCACCGTCATAATATTGATCTCTTTAAACATTTCTCGAAGGGATTCGCGAAGCCTTAGGCTGTAAATTGCTCTGATTGCACGCTTTTGCAAGACAAAAATAGACTCAATGTCAGCAGCCTGTCCCCACAACAAGATGTCATACGACATAATGCTATGAAAGTAGCTGAAGTACACCAGTCTTGCAGTGTCCACATCTGCTAGCTGTCTGATCTTTCAGACACCAAATGCTGCAGAGCTCAAAAGTCCTGCCAGAGATGTGATATGGGGTCCCCATTGTGTTATACCCAGAAAAGTAGTTTTGTTTTACAAATTCCAATTTCATACCACGTAATAATATGTCTCATTCGTTACTTTTAACATTTGGTAAATAGAATCGAATGTCTTTTTGTCGTTTAGGACTAAATTATTAAGTGTAAACCTTCGTAATAGCATTGTTTACGTCGTCATAATTATCTGTCCGTCTATTTATTTTAAAAATCAACGATGTGTCATCAGCAAATAATACTATTCGTTTACGTTTACGTTGAAATAAATGAGGTAAGTCATTTATATACACTAAAAACAAGAAAGGACCTAATATCGAACCAGGGGGTAAGCCCATAGATATGCTAGCACCCTGGGAGTTCAGTTTATTTACTTGTGCTTTGAACTGCCTATCCTAGAAGTATGGTTTTAATAAATTGAGAGATACACCTCGAATGCCCTAGTTTTCCAACTTCAGCAACAGTATCGCGTGTTCAACGCAATCAAAAGCTTTAGACAGGTCACAAAAAATACCAATAGCGTCGTTTGACTTTTCCCATGAGGCAAAAACAGGCATAATTAGAGTTACAACGGCGTTACTTGTGTATCAACCCTTGGTGAACCCACACTGTTGATTATGAAAGATGGAATTCATGTTAAAGTGTCGAAGCATCTGAGAAAGCATCAGCTTTTCAAACACGTTACTAAGCACTGGTAAAATTGATACAGGCCTATAATTATTGGGATCTGTATCATCGCCAGATTTAAATAACGGAACTACTTAGATAAATTTCATCAAATTTGGAAAAAGATCTACACTTCTATTAAACATTAAAACTAAATAAGGCGATATAGCTTCTATAAAAAACCTACACACCGCAACAGACATTCCCCATAGATCCTCTGTAGACTTAACTTTTATGTCTTTAAACGCCTTTATTACTGATTGCGGGTCCGTGTACTGAAATCGGAAGCCAGAAAGGAATTCTTTAACATTTCTTTTAAGAAGACTAATAGAAAGTGCCGGAGATGTTTCCAAGTCTCTCGTAGTTTTAAGGGGGATATTTTTGAAAATAAATTCAAAATCTTGGGCAACTTCTTGATTTGCATTAACTCGTCCATTATCCGTGTTAAAATTTAATTCCGTGTTATGCACTTTATTTTTGTCTGTCTCGTTATTTAATTGCTTTCCATGTAGCTTTTGTTTTATTTTCAGCATTCTTAATCTTATTGCCTATGTAAAGTGATTTAGCTTGCTTACAAAATACTTTAAATATTTTTTGATATTTGGACACATGCTTGCTAAAGGCTTCACTAGTATTAAATGGTTTCATACCATATAGCTCAAATGACCTTTCCCTGCTTCTACGAATAGCTGGCCTACATAATGTTACACCGCCAAACAAGTATTTTCCAGCCGGTCTTGTTCGAATGGATACAACTTCTAAAGGAGGCAGCCCATGTCCTTTAAGCCTTACTTACACAGAAAAATTAAAGCCTTTTCTGCAAACTTTCTACAACTTTCTTTCCCACAACGCGATTAAAACAAAACGCCTTGAAGAAGCTTCCGTTGTACCACACCTATTGTCACCCAATCAGCTCACACAGGTGACAAGAAACGGTAATTGTGCGATGCAAGGAAAAGAAAGAGTGCTGTGGCATAGGTAAATACATGTATCCCGAATAAACACGAGATGCTATGCTGAGCCCAAATTATTTGAAATGAAGAATGAGAAGATTAAAAAGTAAATAATCCCACATTAATTACCTTGAGGTACTGATTGACAAGCTTGCATGAGTTTGTCGAGACAGTCAGCAAGCTGGCGGTGCGAGGTGCCGAGCTGGCGGCGCGCGTCCGGGAGCTGAGCTGTGTGAGGCTCGCACGACGCCGTCAGCTCGTCCGCGCAGACACGCAGCTTCTGCGCCGCTGAGATCAACTGCTTCTGGCACTGAGGGTCGCTGATCGTCGGAGCTGTCATCTAATAAATAGGTACAGCGTTTAGTTACAGAAGAGCGTTGTATCACATTTTTTTTATAAAGTAGTCTTCTTCGCTTGACGGTCCTACTTGCACGACAGTGAGCAGTGCCTGCGCGGCGTCTGCAGCGCTGGCCCCGCAGCGGTCCAGCTCCGCAGCTGCGCCTGCATCTGCCACGCGCTCCGTCAGCTGCTGCACCTGGCTCAGCAGCTCCGATGCCTTGCCGCATGAAGTCGCGGCCAGAGCCATCACCTGGAACGGTAATACGATACATCCAAATTGTTCCAGGATCTTGCAGAATGCTGCAGCACTGAACCTCTAACAGACAGATAGAGCTCCTCACCTGTTTCTCGTGAGCATCCTGTGCCTTGGGGCTCACGACGTATACCAACTTGCCTGACGCCGCGGAGAACTTGGCGGCAGCGTCGCTGACTCCCTGCAGCAAGAAGAAGTCATTCATCGCTCTCATTCAGTCACGTGCACAGTAAGTTACCCACACAGAGCCCCACCAACCTGTGCCTGCCCCGCGTGCTCACACAGCTCCTGCGTGGCCTCGCACAGCGCGCGCAGCTCCTGCAGCATGGCCGCCTGCTCCGCGTCTGACTTCGTGCCGCATAGCGTGCGGGACTCTGCAGACAATACGACAGTTGATCGGGCTGACACGAGGAGAGAGTTGTGGCAGAACAATATCGATAAGAATGAATCGGTTCGACGACTGACCTTGTACCACTTGCGGCATGAGTTGGGCAATCTGCTGGATGGCCTGGTCCGCCGCCGCGTAGTCGGGGTGCTCACGGTCTGCGGACAGGCGACGCGTTAGTAGCGACCTGTACTATGTAAGGGCCATGGATTATTATTGTACATGAGCCAGTCTCCACAGACCTGCGGTGGCAGCAGTGAGCCCGGCCACGGCGGCGTTGAGCTGCGCCACGCGCGCCCCGAGCCTGCGCTGTAGCGCCGCGCCGGCATCTTCCTTCATCAGCTGACACACCAACGGCTGGCGACACACACACATTGTACCACACGTCACACCCCACCATGGCTATCAGGAACATAATGCCTCGACATGAACTCACCTCTTTCAGCAGTTGTTCAGCCGCATTCAGGCGACCCTTGGCACCAGACGCACTGTTGATGAACTTCAGACGTTGCTGCTCCTGTTGCTTGGAACCGGTGCCTATGATACCTGCGTTATATATGTATTCGTGTAGATATTATTATTTCGCCTGACCTTCACCATAAACTGGTGTAGCCAATTTTAAAGGAGTCACAATTGAGAGTAATATTATAAAGATTCTCCTTGTTGTACTTTATCTTCAAACTCACCGCTATGTTCGGGCTGATAAGCTTGTACTAATTTGTCAAGGTCATTGTTAAGCTCTCTCTGACAGGACAGCAACTGTTGCCAGACTTCTGGTCGCATCATCAGCGGTGGCTCACAGGAAGACGTGAGCTGTTGTGCACAGCGACGCACGTTGTCTGCTGATGAATGCACTGCTGCAGAACAACTTGGGTCTGATGGACTGGAACTTGTAGCCTGAGTGGAAACGACATCACTATTAATAAAAACCCTTCGTTTTTTGAGATAAGGATACGTGTTAGAGCTTGAATGAAACAGGTATGACGGAGATCGCTCTCTGTAAAGGTCGTCTAATGGATGTGGTAAAAATACTTTGATTTAATCATCAGAAAAAATGGACACTAAATAAATCAGCACATTGACCGTATTTAGAAAACCAGTTCAAAAGTGGCAAAACTAAGGCGATCCTACCTGTACCACAGAACCCAAGGTATCAGCAGCTTCCTGGAGGCGCGAGGCTAGCGGCGCCTGCGCAGGGCAGGCAGTCTGCGCGTTAAGCGCCAGACGTTCAGCCTGCTTGCACGCTGCCTTCCCAAGCTCTTCTACCTAAACACAACACAAATGGCTTTCCAATATAAAATCAGAAAAAATTTAAGGTCAAAGCCCAGTTTGCTTCATAAGTTTATTTCTTTATAAGGTTTGGTCTTGGTCGTACTGGCTCCGGGCTCTGGTTCTGGCTCGGTCATTGGTCATCCTCAATATTACGGAGCAAAAAAACATAAACATGATTTGAAAATAACGACTTACCTGTTTTGCTTTAGCCTTGTCAGCAGTGGGACTAACAATGAACTTCAGCTTGCTGGCCGTCTTATGGAACTCCTTAGTACTTATTTTAGGATCCTGAATAAAGCAATTAAAAGAAAAGATGTCAGTTTCAGTAAAATATATTTATATCATCATCACATTATCTATCATCCTATAACTGTAAACTGCTGAGCAAAAGCCTCTTCTCAAACGGAAAAGATTTGAGCATTAATCGATCACGATTGCTCAAGGCAGATTGGCGATTTCAAGCTTATAATTAAAAATTTATATATCCAGGTTTCCTCGCGATGTTTTCCTTCACCGTATGTCAATGGTATTTAAATTGTCATAGAATTCGTGTGCATATAACTCGGAAAGTCACATTGGTACTTGCCAGGTTTGGAACCCGCATGTTATGAATGAGAAGCGGGCGCCTTTACTTAAGTATATTTATGACAAATAAATTCAATCTGTCAATCAATCTATTAATCCATCATGCACGTATCTATCTATCAATCTACCGGTCTATCAATAGTGTGGGAGAGCCATGCTACGGCACGAATAGGTCGACTCAACCGGAGTGATACCACGGCCTCACAGAAAACCGGCGTGAAATAACCAAAGAATTGTGTTTCGCCGTGCGAGTGAGGTTACCGGAGGCCCAATCCTTCCCCTACTCCAATCCGTTCCCTTTCCCAAAATCTCCAAATCTTCAATCCCCAAAAGGTCGACAATGCACTCGTTACTCCTCCGTCGTAGCGGGTGTCCATGGGCGGAGCTGATTGCTTACCATCAGGTAATCTGTTTGCTCGCTAGCCGACCTATCACGTAAAAAAAACACAAATCCATTTAACCCTCGTTACCTTATTCATCTTATCTATAAAACCTTTTTAGGAAACCCTATCAACTTACAGTCTCAGAGTTTTCACAAAGCGTGCGGCTAGCGTGGCACAGAGCCTTCAGTTCATCCAACATGGCTGCTTGCTCTGCCCCGTTTTTTGTGCTTGATAATTGGCGGGAATCTGCAAGTTATCCGGTACATAGTTTGTCATCGAGCAAATTGTTTTATTCGTTTCATACCCGAAAGATAAAAATAGACGAAACCCTGTTACCAAGTCTGTCTCCAGGCTTAATATCATAAGCTAAGTACTTAGGAACAGTTAAAATTTTGACAAATGATATACATTTCTGATGTTGCTATGACAACATAATACTTAATCTTTATTATACACCAAAGGACTTGTGAGAAGAAATGTACAAAAATAGCTAAAGGTACAAGGGGGGCTTATCGCTAAAAGTGATATCTGCCAAGCAAACTTTACGTGGTGGACGAAGTACTGTTGTCCTCGTGTACGTACGTACGTACGTACACGCTGACGGACATTAACGAACAAACGAATGAGTGTGTTTTGAACGTTGTTGTGTTGTTTTGAACGAGACGACGACGGGACGGTGCTTGTCCTGGAGCATGGCACTGAGTTCCAAAATCAAACAGATCGAACCATATAAGATCTGTCAAAAGATCTGAGAGCCTAACATGACGTGTTAAGCGTCAAGGTGTATAGCTCCATCCCTCTTTCTGCTCGTGTGCTGGGGCATTCCAAGACGACCTTCTTGGTAGAGAAGAATTGTGATAGTGGAACAAGAAACGTTGTTTGAAGTAAAAAAGGATTGCAGGATTAAACAGTATACTATAAAGTATGGATAATATGTGACTTACACAAAAAATGTAAATAAAATAAATATTAAATGGGCTACTATTTTTTCTAAACTGTACGTGCGATAGCACACGGCGGAATCCTCGAGGCGATCGGCATCACGGATAAAATCAATGGTCGTCAGGGAGACTCCGGAACGCTGAAGCGTGCGATAGCATGCTAACGCATCCCTTCACCTCCGATGACTTCGTATCGCATGCTGTCTTTTTGGTCTGCGGAATGCGATAGCGCGCGTTCACATGCGACAGCATATTGCAGTATGTGGTAGCACAAGCGGAACATTGCGATTCCGTGCTACCAGATGAGGTCCAACCCTAATGGTTTCTTTTCTAACCCATTGCAATCTCTGTGTAGGTACTCTTATGCTAAGTGGAAGTTCGGAATTTAGATAATAGCAAGCTCAATATTCATAACCAACGAAATAACTTAAAACATATTTAAATTCATACCTTGAACAATCAATGGCATCAGTTCAGATATTTCCTTCACAGCCTGTTCTGCAGCTATCCAGTCTGAGTTCTTAGGATCTAAAAACATTAACATCTGGCTTAGGTACAATTTTCGAATTAACCTTGGTCTGCACTCTCCCTCATATTCTTTTACAAATATCAAACACATATTTCCTGAACTGATAATATAATAAACTAGCTACTCTCGCGGTTTCACCCGCTGCTGCTATCGTAGCGTGATGTTTTATAGCCTATAGCACTCAGGATCATTGTAGCTATCTACCAGTGAAAGAATCAGTTTATTAAAAGGCAATCCGACCAGCGGTTTCAAAGATTACCCCTACATACAAACTTACAAATTTTACCTCTTTATAATATTAGTATAGAAGTATAGATAATATTACAAAGCAAACCAAGATCCACAAAGGTTTCTTTTTAGCACATTTTACGAGTAATATACATATATTTGGCATACGCCTCGACCGGAGTGATACCACGGCCTCCGAAAAAACCAGCGTTAAACAACCTTTGCGTTGTGTAACGCCGTGTGAGTAAGATTACCGGAACCCCAATCCTTCTCATCCCCCAATCCATACCCGATGCCTAAATCTCCAAATCCGTAATCAACAAAAGATAGCAATGCGATCCCAACTTGTCTACTCTTGCGGTTGCCCATGTTTGCTTACCATCAGGTAGTCAGTATGCTCATATGCCGTCCTATCATATAAAAAAGACCTCCATACATTTACAAACTATAACACTGACCAGCTTTAGCAGCAGCAAGTGCAGCGACTGCAGCGTTGAGCTGCGCCAGGCGCCGCGACAACCTCTGCTCCACGGCTGCTGCCTGCTCGGGCTGCAGCTGGTGCTTTACCAACGGCTGGAGACACAACGAGGAAATAGTAGAACCAAGGCAAGGACAGGGATACATTAATACAGTTCAGTAAGCTTTATTCCTAATTTTAAGACTAGCAATGCATTATATTTTGGGTGACCGTAATGCATATATGCAATGAAAAAAGTTAATTTGCGAAAGTTGTTTATTATCATGAGTTCAATAACGTGTTTAAATATTGGTTACTAATCATCAGTCTAATACAGAACAGAATCAGATACATCGGACGCAGCCATCGTCAAAAGGTCCTGAGAATGCTCAATGGAAGAGCAAAACGATGGTTTCTTTGAATGTGGTGTGTGTTTGCTATAATAGCTGGGGTATTTGTGAGGGGATAATCATCGAATGAATAAATCATTATCTCGCGAAGGTTGACGCGAGACGGCGAGAGGGAGTTTCAAGCTCTTACTGACTAAAAATACCCCTGTTCCGTCTACTACTTATGGCCGAGGCGACGGTACCTTATATTGCAGTGCAGCGGTGCTGCGAATGCATTTATATATTTAAAATATTTTAACACAGAAGTGTATTAAAAGTTTAACATAGAACATGTTTTGGTTACAATCTCTTTAGAATACACTCTTATTCTAAATGGAATCGCAGTGCAATCCGACATGGTCTAAAAGAAAAATGTGAGGAAGCCATATGAAGTGCTGTGTTACCTGTTTGAGCTGCTGTTCGGAGTCGTAAAGTCGATTCCTGGCTCCAGTCAAGCTGTTCATGAATTTGAGTCGCTGCTTCTCTTTTTGAGGTTGTGATACACCACTCTGAGAAGCTGTAATAAACAATGAACAACTTTCAACTCTAAGGATTTATGTAGATTCCATGATTTTAAGCCCATTTTTGTAGGCGATGTTGATTTTACCTTCAGGTATTCTCTGACAAGCTTGCATGAGTTTGTCGAGACAGTCAGCAAGCTGGCGGTGCGAGGTGCCGAGCTGGCGGCGCGCGTCCGGGAGCTGAGCTGTGTGAGGCTCGCACGACGCCGTCAGCTCGTCCGCGCAGACACGTAGCTTCTGCGCCGCTGAGATCAACTGCTCCTTGCAGTGAGGGCTATCAATGGTTGACGCAGTAGCCTATAAAAACATATTGGTAAGTTTACCAAAAGCAAGTATTTCAAAACCTACAGATCGTTTACCAATGACATCTTCAGCTATAAATGGGTATTCTAATCTGACCTGCGCGACAGTGAGCAGTGCCTGCGCGGCGTCTGCAGCGCTGGCCCCGCAGCGGTCCAGCTCCGCAGCTGCGCCTGCATCTGCCACGCGCTCCGTCAGCTGCTGCACCTGGCTCAGCAGCTCCGACGCCTTGCCACAAGCATCCGTTGACAAACCAAGAATCTGGAAGATAAATTGTTGTATCCTGTTTTGCAGCAAATATCCTGTTTCGGTGCAAAAAAATCACAAGACAAAGGTATTCAAATATCTTAGCAATAATGTTACTAAGCCTGAAATTAATTTTGTATCCTTTGTTAAGGAGTTTGACCTTACCTCATTCTCCATCTCATTGTCAGCTCGGGGCGTGGCGCAGTACACCAACTTCCTCGAAGCGTCTGTATATTTAGCAATACCATCACCCACACCCTGTAAAGAAACCTTTGTTGCTTGATGTGATCTTATTATGCTATACGAAGTATCCGAAACCCTAATCCCCAAAAGGCAGGCGTTTATGCTTACCATCAAGTTAAGAGTTTACTCGCTTGCCGCCCTATTACATGAAAGAAAGTATTTGTACTCGTAAACATGATTCTAGATGCGGATGGAGATGATAGATACTTGGAACAAAGTTAAGGAGATTTGTTAGAGTTAGACCTCTTTTAGACGCGAAAATTTCCAAGTAGCTATCATAGTCTGCTTATGCACAATGTACTTTTTTCGTTACCGGTTACATTTCAAAGTCAAAGTCATATTATTTATTACAGTCACTTTAAAAAAGACTTTGGAAGACAAACATAAAAATATATCAAAAAGTCCAACTTTGTGTTTGTCAGTCTATTGCTTCTAATGAAGCTAATTGCTCGTCAAAAAATAAAATTCCTGATCACATGAAAACCTTGCCATTGATGAAATTTAAGAAATGTTTTACATTGTTACTTGTAGACAAATGCTATTATTCTGTTCAGGATTTCTTAAATGATACATTATAATCACCTTTTTGCCTTATTTAACTTAGTTGTATAATAATTATTGTATTTGCATGCCAACAAGGTAGAATGTACACGGTTCTTTATTATGTTATTTTCGATCCTATTTGTATGCATTATATCATATATATCATATGCATTCTTAGCAAATAAAGTCTTATTCTATTCTATTCTATTCGTCTATAGTTTTTTGTGTGACATCATCATACTGCCGCCCACCGAAGGTTATTTACGTATACCGAAACTAGGAATGGACCTAATATTGAGCCCTGCGGTACGCCCATAGGCTTGAATTAACTTTGTTGACTTGTACTTTAAATTGTCTTTCCTAAAAGTATGACTTCAAAAAATCTAGAGAAGCTTCCCGAATTCGGAAAACCGTAGTGTTCTAGATTCAGTAAGCGTCTCATGCTCAACGCAGTCAATAGCCTTCGAAAGATCATAAAATATTCCGAAGGAATCCTTTTCACACGAGGCGAAAATCTGCATTATAAGTGCAGCAGCACTTGAGTTAACATCAAACTTTCGAACACTTTACTGAGCACTGGAAAAATGGAGACCGGTTTATAGTTATTAGGTTCTTTACAATCACCTGATTTAAACATTGGAACTGCGTTACTATGTTTCATTAAAAACGGGAAAACAAAAATGTAAGCTTTTTTAAAATAAAAGATAAATAAGACGTTGTACTATCTTCAGACCTACAGACTCTAAAAGACATTTCCCAAAGATCTTCAACCGACTTAATTTTGATATTTTTAAACGCTTTTATTACTGTCTGGGGGTTTGGATTTTGGAAACCTAAAATTAGAAGGACGTTTTTCGACTGCGACTTTCGGAGAGCGCTGGAGATGATTTCAATGCTTTCGTAGTTAATGTTTTTACAAGTCGTTTAAGAATTCGAAAATTTCTTTATTCGATAACTATCGAATTAGTACAGATTGTTTTGTGATTTGTTTCTATCGTTAGTAAATAATTCTCTTCTAATGTCGATGTCAATGTTAATACTAACCATATCCACTATTCGATGGACATGGGCTGATGATGACGATCTCACCTGTGGTTGTCCAGCATTGTCACACAGCTCCTGCGTGGCCTCGCACAGCGCGCGCAGCTCCTGCAGCATGGCCGCCTGCTCCGCGGCTGACTTCGTGCCGCATAGCTTTTGAGAATCTGTTTCGTAACAGTTCACAATTATAGAACTTCAATTTGGAATAGGTTTTTTCTTCATGTTATTTTCACCATAGTTTTGAACTAACCTTGTATTAGATGCGGCATTATTTGTGAGATGGTGTCCACTGCTTTTTCGGCAGCCTCATAGTCTGGGTGCTCTCGATCTATAAAAAGATAGAAGAAATATGCCGTGATAAAAACAATTTTGGGCCAAATAGAGGTAAAGCTTCTATTTTTTCAGATTTTTTTTTATTAATGATTTAACAACATTAACAACAGTCAAATCACACATTACTCGAAAACCTTTTCATGCTAACAGTTAATCACAATGGAATATAAATAAATATTGATAGATTGGCTTGATTCCTTTGAACACCTTCGAAGGGTCTGCCTCTAAATATACGAACGTCGCCAGTACCTGTGGTAGCGGCGGCCAGTGCCGCGACGGCTGCATTGAGTTGTGCGATGCGCTCGTTGAGCTTCTCTCCCAGCGATGTGGCGGCACCTTCCTCCATCATCTGACACTTCATTGGCTGAGGGACATATTTTCCATGGCTTAACTCTATAGGATCCTCATCATAAGTACTACATCATACCATACGAATACAAACTAATATTATATAGATATATGCAAAAGTAAATTTGTTTGTCTTTCTGTCTGTGTGTCTAAGTCTTCACGCCTAAACTAGTGAATCGATATTTGTCAATTTGGTACAGACATAGTCTGAAACTTAAGAAAGGATATAGGAAAGTTTTATGAAAAAAAAAATACGGAAATACAGCGTCATCTATTCGTCAAGAGGAGGCATTAGTTCAGTACTATAAATATCGAGTTGTCCTTATGCTCGATAGATGGTGGTGATCACACAATGGTGGCACTTCGGTGCCGACGCCTTAATCCTGTGAGATTAGAATCTGTATCCTGTTGCAATTTTTTAACTCTTTGTTATGCAATATGTATAACCACTAAAAAACTAGAAGATTCCTACCTAGTTACTTATTTAACTCAGTTGTATAATCATTATTGTATTTGCATGCCAACAAAGTAGAATGTACACGGTTTTTTATTATGTTATTTTCGATCCTATTTGTATGTACCTGCATTCTTAGCAAGTCTTATTCTATTCTATTCGACTTCATTAGGAGACTAACCTTATTCAGTTGCTGTGCTGCAGCGTCCAGACGTTGTTTGGCTGCGGCCGAGCTCCTGACAAATCGAAGTCGTTTTTTCTCCTGCTGTGCTGAAGGTTCCGTCATAGACACGTCCTCTGGACCATTAATAAAAATAATGTTATGTCATAGATTCCCCTATTACAAACCGTGATCTTCATGCATTACTGCTTTTTAGTAAACTGAAACACGTTTGAATAGTCACTATCGTGACACACAAAACGTTGTGTTTCGCCTCGTGAGTTAGATTACCGATGGTTCAATAAAAAGGTTGGGTTTCAATAAAGAAAAACTGATGCATTCTTACCGCCTTGTCCAACATTGCATGCATCAGCCAGCCTGTGCAGACTGTCAGCGAGTAGTTGGTGTGTGTCAGTGAGCAGCGCGCAGTGAGGCTGCAGCTCGGGCTGCTCGTGCGCCTGCAGCTGCCAGCCTGCGGCCAGCCAGTCCGCGCGGCCCAGCAGGCCACACGCTGCAGAACTCAGGGCATCTTGACACCGCGGCGAGGAGATACTTGGGGCAGTCACCTGTGACCATTTCATTTCATTGACTACCTACCGCGCTATGTTTTGCAGGTTCCATTCCCGCTCTCTTTGTGTGATCCATAATATGTTGTTTTGAAACTGAGTGTGGTGCGTTTGTGAAATTGTATGTTTTTAACCACAACCACGACATAAATTTATGTACACACAGTAGGAATACGAATAAGTTTAGGTACAAAGGCGCAGCTTATTTCTTCTGATATCTCTTCAAGCAGGCTTGTTATGTGACAGTTAGAATAAACAGTTATGTAGACTGGCTATGTTAGCACAATTAGGAAAAAGAAAAACAATTAGAATTAATAAAACAACGATTAAAAATAACTGAGAAAATTGTTAAATGTACAATAAGTTAACCCGTCTCCGAAGCAAAAATTGGAACATGCAGGTTTAAATCACTCAGAGTCTGACAATCTCGCGTTACCTAAGGCTGAAGAAGCTTTCCTAAATAACGTTTGCCACGTCATTATTCACACAGTGCTTTCTATAAGTATGAGCCCCTAGCGTTTGCTTAGCTATTTGAAACTTGTCAAGTTACCTCGTCAAATAGTTTCGAGAATAAGCCGTAGAAGCCATTAAAGATCATAGTTACCTGTGCCACAGCCCCCAATACGTTAGCAGCGTCAGCAGTTCGAGCAGCGCGGCTGCCGAGTTCAGCTGCAGTATGTTCTGGGACCTGATCCTGCATCCGACGAGCTCCAGCAACCAGCTGCGCTGCATGACCTTGTGCAATCGCTACCTCCTCCATGATCTATACCGAACAATACAATTTTAACAAAAACACTCCACAAAATGTGTGTTTCTGATCTAGGTTCTTACAGACTTTGTTTGACGTTCATAAGTGCCTGATTTAGAATAAATGATTTTGACTTTAACTAAACAGCTCCTTTCTTTCTCATACTGACATACATGATTCACCCCGGCCTCGGCCCAGAGCAGGAGAAGGAATGGGGGGGTTTTTAGTCAGTAAGAGTCTGACACTCTCTCGCCTAACCCTGAGCGGTAGAAGTAATTTGATGATTTTCCCCTGACAAAAAAAAGGCCCGGACTGGAGCAGGTAAATGTAAGAGGGGTTTTTAGTCAAAAAAAGCCTTATTGAAATCTAAGGTTAAGATTTTGTTTCTAAAACCTAGCCAGTTTAAAGTTTTAAAAGCTTTTTACACATATTCCAACTATTCTAAACGCCACTTACAAATTTCTGTCTCCCTTTATCAGTTCCTGGGCTGATGAGGAACAACAGCTTGCCAGAAGCTGCCGCGAAGCTAGCAGCTTCATCACCGTCAACCTACAAAAAAAAGGATTCAAAATACATGCCAGTAGACGCTTAAAAGACAACATCTGCGACTTTGTTCGCGTGGAATAGTGACTTTCTGCAGATTTTTGGTTCAAAAACTAAGAGTCCTTTCTGGAGTTCCAAACTATGGCTGTATCAAATTTCACACAAAAAGGTTCAGTAGTATAAGCGTGAAAAAAAGACAGACAGGCAAAGTTACTTAATTACTTTCGCATTTATAATATTAGGTTTGGATAATTCAATCTATTATTACAATCAACACCAAAATAAGTTTATTCGTTAAGTATCCCTTTACGCAAACATATTATTATCGCTGGGAGTATAGTGAAGGTAAGGTAATTAATATACCTTAGTGAATTCGAGCAAGCAAGCAGGTTGAAAGCTGGTTTTATTTTTTTTATTTTACAACAATTAACAATTGACATGATACAATATTTTATACAGTACATTATTTTGCACTTTATGTAGTGGTGGCCCGGAGGTTAAGGAGACCGCTTCTCATGTATGAGGGTTCAAAACCTGGCAAGTATCAATGTGACTTTTTCCGAGTTATATGTTCTTCTAAGATTATTTAGACACCACTGACATAAGGTGAAGCTAAACATCGTGCAGAAACCTGGACTTATAATTTCTAATTATAAGTTTGAAATTGCCAACCTGTATTGAGCATATTAATTCTGTATATACTGTGATTAATTCTCTAACCTTCTCCGTGTGAGAAGAGGTCTTTGCTCAGCAGTGGGCATTTATAGGCTGACGATGATGATGATGATTATTTTGCACAGACTGCTTTTGAAAGGGGCAATACTAACGTGTTTGTAACCGTCTCCTTCACAAATCTTCCGCGTGGAATCACAGAGGGCGCGGATGTTCTTGTGCATGGCGTTACGCGTCGCCTCGTCCTTATCGGAGCTCACTGTCTCTGCGTCTAATGAGAAGAAGTAAGAACAATATATCTTTATTAGCATAGAATGTCGATATATGTAGTCAGGAATGGCTCGACCAGAGTGATACCACTTACAAAAAACCGGAGTGAAACAACCACAGCGTTGTGTTTCACCGTGTGAGTGAGGTTACCCGAGGCCCAATACTTCCCCTCACCGAATCCCTCCCAAATCTCTCAATCTCCAAATCCCTAATTCGCAAAAGATCGGCAACACACTCGTAACTACTATGTTGTTGTAAGTGTCCATTAGCGGCGCTGATTGCTTACCATTAGGTAATAAGTTTTCGCCTGCCGTCCTATCATCAAAAAATAAATAGTACAATAATTAAAGCTGGTGAGATTCACACACATTCTGCCTAAAGAAACCAATACATACTTGAAAACGGAAGAAGAAAAAAGTAAATTCAGCTATCAAAACTTTTCATAGATCGTTACTTATAAGCCCCTTGCGTGGCTCGAAACTAGTCCATTCACCTCGTAAACACATACTTATCACACGAGATGTACAATACATAGGTACGAGTAGTAACAATAAGTGTAGGAGATCTACCTAATTTTGATTTTGAAATGACCCGAAACCCGAATCCCCAAAAGGCCGGCAATGCACTTTTAACTCCCCAGGTGTTGCGAGTAAGTATACATAGGCGATGCCGATTGCTTGCCATCAAGGAATACTGTTCGCCTTTGCTCGCTTTGCCTACCACATGAAAAAAAAAACAACTTTCTTTCAATCTTTATTTAAAAGAGCTTATTTGCAATTACAAATATGGCGCTCCGTACACAAAGCAAAAATAAATTAAGATATTTAAAAAAGAAGAATTAAGGCAAAGATGATCTCTGCCTTAGACCCTCTTTAACTAAACTAATAAGTACTTTTACTCTTTCACAAAGTGGTGACGATAGTAAATTTATATAAAATCCTGTATTGTAACATTCTTTACCAAAAAATCGATGTCTTCACTCCTTATTCCGATCACACTCCGCTAAAATATGACATAACAACATACAATATAACATTTCGGAGAATCGTTTTTTCGCATTAGGAAATTTATTCAGCGGAATGTGACCAGAACGTAGCCTAAACAACAGTGCAATATCTTGTCTGTCTTTTTTTTTTTTTTTTTATGTAATAGGTCGGCAAACGAGCAGACGGATTACCTGATGGTAAGCAATCAGCGCCGCCCATGGACACTCGCAACGGTGGAGTTACGAGTGCGTTGCCGACCTTTCAGGGATTAGGGATTTGGAGATATAGGGATTGAGGAGGGATTGGGGAAGGGGAAGGATTGGGCCTCCGGTAACCTCACTCACACGGCGAAACACAACGCAGTGGTTATTTCACGCCGGTTTTCTGTGAGGCCGTGGTATCACTCCGGTCGAGCCGACCCATTCGTGCCGAAGCATGGCTCTCCCACACTTAAACCTTACCTGTCTAGGTTAGATATTTCAACCAAGGAGCTTTCCAAGGTTGTGACTGGACAATTTTATACCATATTCCCACATGTGTAGACCGTTCATCAAAGTAGGTATTCTTTCCAAAGTGAATAAGATTTTTGTTTAATAATGTAAGTGCGACCAGAAAAAAAGCAACTTAAAATTTGAAAACCTTGAAGGTTGTGGAAACTTCTTACTTACATACATACGCCAGCTACTATAGACTATTGTTCATGTAGGTACACACACGTCTTTAGATAATAAAGATAAACCTGTCTAGGTAGTTTTGTTTAAACAATCGCCAGTTCCCTTACCTTTTACAATCTGTGGCATCAGTTCTGATATGGTAGCGATCGCCAGTTCCGCAGTCACGTAGTCTGGGTTCTCTCGGTCTGTGAAACAAATTAGTGTCGTGAGCAACAGACATTGAAGTGTTTTGAATGCTTTGCCACAAACTTTTTTTTTACATTTAACTAGCGAGCCGCCCTTGCTTCACAAGGGAGCAATGCTGATACTGAATGTCTCCACTATTTAGTGAATGTTTTTATACATATAAACCTTCCTCTTCAATCACTCTATTTATATAAAAATAACACATCAAAATATTTTGCGTAATTTTAAAGATATAAACAAACATAGGGATATAGGGACAGAAAAAGTGACTTTGTTTTATACTATGTACCTAGTGATAAGAAAATAACATTATGTTTTTATAATAACTATCGTGAGACATACTAAATTAACTAAAATTCGCGGGTTGTCCAGTAGGCTGCGCGACGTCGCCGCGTCCGCGCACGCTGCTCATGAGGAAGAACCCCTCTGTGGTTCGAAACTAGTAGAGCTTTTCTCAACATTTACACGTGAGTAACCCGCGAATTTTATTTAAAATAACATTAATGGCAAATATGATTATTGTGGAACATCAAACTCGGTCTGATGTGTTTTTTTTTGTGAGGGGAAAATCAACGAATGACTTCTCCCGCCCAGGGCCGGGCGGGAGGGAGGGTCAGACTCTTACTGACTAAAAACCCCCCTGTTCCTTCTCCTGCTCTGGGCCGAGGTCACGGTGCCTCATTGCGCTTACCCCGCCACCCCGGCTGAACATCAGCCCTATAGGGTCCCGTCTGTGGTGGTCTATTGGCTCTTTGAGGCGCGCGCGGAACGCTATTATATTGATATTGAGTTATATTATGTATATTTATAACGAATTTTGACTGTGCTTTGAAGCTTTTTATTCAAGTCTAAAACAGCATCATCATCAATCACTGACCTGCAGTAGCCGCAGCCAATGCAGCGATGGCAGCGTTCAGTTGTGCCATACTCTGCTCCATGCGCCGCTGAGCCTCAGCCTTCTCAAGATCCGAAGGCACGCCAGTCGCCGATTGCTGAAGATAGATGGCGCTTATTTTAACATTTCGTAAAGAGCATAATTATTTGTACCTACGTAAATAATAGTAAGCTTCTATTTTCAAAATAAGGATCTTTTTTCTGTCTTACTTTCCAAAATGCAATCTATACTAATATTATAAAGAGGTAAAGTAAGTTTGTATGTAGGTGGTAATCTTTGGAACTACTGGTCGGATTCCCAAAATTCTTTCACCTATTGATAGCTACAATGTTCCCGAGTGCTATAGGCTATAAAACATCACGCTACAATCAAATGGAGCCGAGCAGCGAGTGAAACCGCCCGGAAGTAGCTAGTTATAACTATAATGATAGATAAAAATAAATCATCACTCGGGCGACCCATTCAACCTGAGAGATAAATATCATCAGCGCTCCTAGTACCTCCTCCCAACCATCCTCCACCTCCTACCATTAATGTACCTAACCATTAAAAGATATTATGATCTGTCTAATTTGATTTTGACTACCTACTTACTTCTTTTCTTGTTATAGTTTTCGCTCGTTTATAAATACATCGAGAAACAACTTACAATGATAGATCTGCCCAAAATTTTATTAAATGCAAATATTACCTAAATTACAGGGTTATTTTGTAAAGGTACTAAATATGCAAATATGGTATTAAAAGCGAATGAAAAAGTATCAACTCTTTATTAAAACCTAATATTGTAATAGTATAGATTAGTCGATGCTTGATTAGGTAGAAAATAATAATATATTTTTTAAAGGTCAGAAAAGAATAAATGTAACAATAAAATGAGTAAAAACATTAAATAAAATTCCCATACAAACTGTTGTTTGTTTTTTTTGCGATTGCAAGAATCACAGATAGGTAGGTACTTATAATATAATTTTGAGTTGGTACGAATTACCTACACTGGTGCAGCTGGTTTATTATAATAAATAAACTTAAATACTTATTAAGTATTTACCTTAATTCAAAATATTAAAATTGTAAGTATTATAATTGATGTAAGAAAAAAGAAATGAATTGTGCAAGTAATTGTAAAAGAGAAAATGTACAGGAATCTAGGTAGGTACATTTTGGAAGCAAATAGCTTTACTAGAAGACTGACCAATAAACTGCTGCAAACAAAATTCAATTTTTTTTATATATATTTTTATTTGACGTCCGAAAATACCTTATAGTTTTCTATTTGAAATATAATATAGGTATATGATTTAACTTTGACTATGTTTGTTTTAAGATACCAAAATTCGTCAAAACAATATCTATCTTTTATCAAAAACATAAATTCCCCATTTAAATCAGTTATCAGTACATAAGAAATATAATATTTAAAAAGTATAATACATATGTAAATGCAAAGATAATATTGTTTTACACTTGTAGTTATGTAGGTAAATTTATATAAAGGAAACAATCAATAATTTCGCAACTTAATGTCAGAGGCGCCGTGGCTTAGTTGGTTAAAGCGCCTGTCTAGTAAACAGGAGATCGCGAGTTCGAATCTCGCCGGGGCCTAGTGGTTAAAGATATTTTTGTTACATTGCTCAAATGTATTTTTATAATTATATTTATATTTTTGTTGAAATTAAGTTTTTATTTCATTAAAAAATAACGGTTCAGAACTAACATTGTTTTTATTCAGGTCGTTTTGTATTTTTTTAGTAAAAAAATTATTATACATAAGTATGTATTGTAACATTACGCTTTTAATTATGTGTGGTTGAAGGCAGGGATGTATATTTAAACGTTATTTATAGCCAGTTGTAGTTAACCTTTTTGGTGTCGTCTCAATAACTAACTAATGCTAAATTATATAATTCAATACTATTTTTATTCTAATTAAATAGAAATGTATGTTGAATTATTGAAAAAAGTACCTAATAACTTTTAAACTTTATTTCTTTTATTAGGTCAGTACTTTAATACATTTAATCAATTTATCTTAGTAGGTATAGGTACTTATTAACATCCCATTCATAATTTTTTTTCTCGTCGAAGCATGGCTTGAGAGCCATGCTTCGACGAGAAAAAAGGCACACTGTTCACATACATAAAATTAAATACGAATAATTATAATAATTAAATGTACCTGGTTCCACAAATCCTCGACTCCTTGCAGCCTACCCTTCGCTCCGTTCATAGTCGCGATGAACTTGAGCCTCTTCCGCTCTTGCGCCGGAAGTGACGAATCATCGTCATCGACACCTATTTATAAAAATAAATTATTTTATAATGACTTAACGGTCGCGAAATTGCGAGCTCTACTGTCGAACAAAGGATCTTGGTTCCATTCTCAGATACCTTTACATGTGTCTATAGAAAGATAAACTCTTATTTTCACATTGAATTAAAATCTCTATATATATATATATATATATATATAATCTATTATATAAAAATCAATGCCACTTGTCGTTGTAATGTTACAATTCAACAATGTCTTTACTGATTTGGCTAATTTTGGTCTTAAAGATTATACGAAGAGAAATAAAAAAAAATTTTAAAGGTGTACAATCGCCTACTACGCGGGCGGAGCCGCGGGCGTCCGCTAGTAGTCCATATTTATACTACACAAATTTTTTTATGTAGGTTCTTTTAAGTAAAACACCACACTCTCAAATGTTTAAGTTTAATTAAAAACTAATTCTTAAAAGAAAACTTATTTTAGTGCTCGTCAAACTTCCCACCAGAATACCCGTTGCACTCTTTGCGCGGGAAAACTTTATTCATCTCTCAGTTGACAGACGACAGCGGCACCACGGCAGCCAGTGTTGCCGAGACCACAGATTATATTAGTGACGTTCATTTAGTTGATTTTCGTCGTCTAACAGTTCTTAGGTATAAATAGGACGAAAACGGAAATATCTCAAATTTTATGTGAAAAATTACACATGTCGCGAAATTTTTGCTCAATCGGTAACAGGGAAGAGAATAGAAAAAATCAAATTTATTCACAAACACACAGCGGGGCACTCAAAATAAATAAAAGCCTTTGAACAGTCTTCTCACCTCCTAAATTAGCATAAGCATCCTTCAACCTCTCTAACGCCTTCGCGACATCAACAACTCGGGAGTGAAGCTGGTCACTCATGGGCTGCCTGGTCTGGTCCTCCAGCAGAGGGCGCCAGGCTGTCTCCAGCTGGTGGACGGAGGAGCTGATACCCTCACAGGCTGCTGTCAATGCACTCTGGCAGTGAGGCTCGTGGATTGCTGGGGCTGTTAACTGTGGGAACAGAAGATGATTAAGTCATATTATTATTACAGGGAAAATCATCTCTTGCCTTGGATGTGGTGACAGCTCCCTATCACCACATCCAAGTGTCAGATTCCTAATGATTAAAAACCTGTTTGTTATTCCTTTCTGTGTTCTGGACCGGGGCCGCGATACATAACTGCTCCCCTCCGCCATTCCGGCTGGTTATTGGCCCTAATGGGCCCTTTTCCCAAGTTATATGTATGTATACTTTACTCAATACATTAACGTCTTATTTTGACTTACTAGTATCAACAATAGATAAAAATAAGTACTTTCAAAGACCCTACCCTAACCTACGCTTTTACCAATTTTCTGTACTAATTTAAAATTTCTTCAATTTTATCCTGTTTGAAGCTTTTTGGACAATGAGGTATCGATAATTTAACAAAATCTTGATCCACCCACCTGAGCACATGCAATGAGATCTGTAGCAGCTCCTGCGACCCTGACTCCGGCAGTGTCAACGTCTTGTGCAGCAGGTTCGGAGGCTGCCTGGCAGGTCAACTCGTTGGTGGACACCAGCAGCAGTGACGTCTTCGCACCGACATCCTTCGCCAGTTCTATTATCTGTGTATTGTCAAAAGTGATATTATTTAAAAAAAAAGGAGTAACGATGGAGTTTCTTTCTCGTTCATCTACATTCAAATCTACAATTTGGAATGAGCACCTAGCTTCACTGACGAACAGACTGATAGACTACTATTGTATTTTGACGTTTCAAAACTACCTATTTATGGTTTAGTTGGAATAAATGCCTGTTTTACATTGTCTGGATATCCACTATGTGTCCGATAAATTTGAATCGCTAACGACGAAAAGATCCATATTTCCCAACACACCCCTCTATTTATTATGTTTTCGGCTTACTCACGTAATAATTTGACGAGATAGCGACAGCGTAGCAGCGCGACAGTCACCGAGTCGCGTGTCTGTGTGTAAATATGGAGCTCTAGCATGGCTTGAAAATAGTCGAGTATCTCGTCAAATTATTACGTGAGTAAGCCGAAAACATAATAATTAATTTAGAATGTCTCACGAAAGTTATAATAAAAAAAGCGTGTTAAAAACACACCTCCATTTTTTAAAATTTTTCTTTAATAAGAATAACAATATGTGGTGCAGGCGCTGTTCTTTACTTTTATTTATATACATAGTCTGGCCATAAATACTGTTACAATAAACAAAATATTACATTTTAATTTGGAATCTGTCATTTTTATATAATTTTTCATTGTGTTTTCTTATTTTGGCGCCAATAAATTGTTCAATATTTTGCGATATTAAAATGGAGTGAGGTGATAAAGAGAACCGAATCATTGTGATTGCATTACACAAAGTGGGTATGGAGCCAAATGCAATTTTTAAAACTCTCCACACGCTTGGCATTAGTCAAATGTTTGTGTACCGGGCTATTAATAGGTACAATGAGACCTCCTCTGTTTGTGACAGTAAAAGATCTGGCCGTCCACGTAGTGTTCGTACGAAAAAGTAAGGGAAAGAATTCGAAGAAATCCTGTCCGAAGGCAAAAGATTTTATCTCGGGAGATGAAGATAGCACCTAGAACCATGTCGCGTATTTTAAAAGACGACTTAGGACTTGCAGACTATAAGAGACGCACTGGCCATTTTTTAAATGATAATTTAAAAAAGAATAGGGTAATAAAATCTAAACAACTACTGAAGCGGTACGCAAAGGGAGGTCACAGAAAAATTTTGTTTGCGGATGAGAAATTTTTTACAATTGAGCAACATTTTAACAAACAAAATGACCGTATTAATGCTCAAAGCTCTAAGGAAGCTTCTCAATTAGTTGACAGAGTGCAACGTGGGCATTATCCGACTTCAGTGATGGTTTGGTGGGGTGTTAGCTATGAAGGAGTGACTGAGCCATACTTTTGCGAAAAAGGTATCAAAACATCGGCACAAGTGTATCAAAATACCATTCTTGAGAAGGTAGTTAAGCCCCTTAACAACACCATGTTCAATAACCAACAATGGTCCTTCCAGCAAGAGTCGGCGCCGGGTCATAAAGCTCGGTCCACGCAGTCTTGGTTGGAAACGAACGTTTCCGACTTCATCAGAGCTGAAGACTGGCCGTCGTCTAGTCCCGATCTTAATCCGCTGGATTATGATTTATGGTCAGTTTTAGAGAGTAGGGCTTGCTCTAAACGTAATGATAATTTGGCACTGAACTCCCTAAAACAATCCATACGATTGGCAGTGAAGAATTTTCCCATGGAAAGAGTGCGTGCTTCTATTGATAACTGGCCTCAACGTTTAAAGGACTGTATTGCAGCCAATGGAAACCACTTCGAATAAGCTTTTTACGTTTTAAATTGTTTTATATTTATGTATTAAACTTACATACTGTCTGTAAAAGTAATAAATGTTATTTGCAATAGAAAAAAAAAAATATTTGTTACAGTATTTATGGCTAGATTAGGTATAGATGAATTTTAACCTAATGTATTTTGATATGCACTTACCTCATGTTCTTTATCAGCATTAGATCCTCGCGCGAAAGTAGATATCAATTTGCCAGCGATACCCGCGTACTGGTTCGTTGCTTCTTGCATTCTCTGAAAGACAAAGAAAATCGCACATTAGTATTTTAAACTAATACTGATATCATCATCAGCCTATAAGTGCCCACAGCTGAGAAAGTTTGAGAATTCATCACCTCACTTGCTTACGGAGGATTGGTGAAATTGTGTGTTTGTAAACGCAATCACAGGAGAAAATCCTAGTGTCGGATAACGTTTCCTTTTTGAATATAAAATATATTTAAAATAACATGTATAAGTAGCTACTGACCGCATGATCCTCAGCGCTGGTGGTGCCGCAGACTGCCCTGGTGGCGTCGCACAGCTCCTGCATGTCGTCCAACAGCTGTTCCCGTGATGACGGCTCCAATGTACTAGCCAGGATTTGTGTGTCTGTCGGTATGAAAAATAAGTTTAGTTAAATACTAGGGACCTTCCTTATCTTTGCACGGGTCGGGTGCAATGTTGAAACAAAATTTCTTAATGAATGTGATCTAATAATATTATTATAAAGAGGTAAAATTTGTAAGTTTGTATGTCGGGGGGTCGAATCTTGGGAACCGCTGGTCGGATTGCAAAAATTCTTTCACTGATATATAGCTACAATGTTCCTGAGTGCTAAAGGCACATCACGCTACGGTCAAAGAGCGCTGAGCAGCGGGTGAAACCGCGCGAGATTAGCTAGTTATACATTATAAACCTTACTCTTCAATCGATCTATAAAAAAATCGCATCAAAATCCGTAGAGTTGTTTTAAAGATTTAAGCAGGCATAAATAGAGTTATAGGAATAAAGAAATCGATTAGTTATTAGTTTCTGTAAATAAAATTGCTAACGTAAATTTATAGTACAGATACGTACTTATAAAATATTTGAGCTAACGTTACCTTTGGCAATTTCTGGCATTAGTTCATTGATGGCGTTCATTGAGTTGATGGCAGACGCGTAGTCGATGTTTTCTGGATCTATAACAGTTGTAACAATCGATAACTACAATACTTCTCATTTGTCGATGTAAATTCTTGCCTATATTTCCTTCTCCTTCCTATCAGTTTTAATTTTTTAAGACTTACTATCAATAATACGTATTCTGTTCGTAATTTTTATAAACTTTTCAAAATTAAGGCCAGGCACGTTCAATGGTAATGTCACTTCATACAACTGCCTTGGGAAGCCTATTGGTAGAATGAGACATGTCACCAATTTTATTAAATGTTACGGAGGACCAATCCTCCATATCAGTCCCTCACCATTCCTTAAAAGCCCTGAAAAAGACTGGCAACGCACTTCCAACTCGACTGGTGTTGTAAGCATCCTTGGGTGAAGCTGATTTCTTACCGCTTTTTTTTTATTGTATAAGCCGGCAAACGAGCAAACGGATTACCTGATGGTAAGCAATCGGCGCCGCCCTTAGACACCCGCAACACCAAAGGAGTAACTAGTGCGTTGCCGGCCTTTTGGGGATAGGGGTTGCGGATATAAGGACCACACGGCGAAACACAACGCTGTGGTTGTTTCACGCCGGTATTCTGTGAAAACCGCTATTAGAGAGCTATGTTTCTTGACGGCTCGACCGGAGTGGTACAACCCTACACAAAACACCATGGAACAACGCTTAGCGTTGTGTTTCGTCAAGTGAATGAGGTTACCAAATGACCAATTCTTTCCCACCCTTTCCCCAATTTCGTAATCCCACTTCCAAAACTTTTGATGTGATTGCTTACCATCAGGTTGTCCGTCTGCTCGTTTGCCACGCAATCATAGACAAAACAAGCCATTGCTGGTACCTACGTTTTAAGTTTAGAATTATTTTGCTTGCAGTGTAGATATGCCTGTTCAGAAAAAACGCGGATAATTACTGTAAAAACGTCACCTGAATGTGCAGTAAGGTACAGAGCTATGGCAGCATTGAGCTTGCCCATTTTGTCCTCCAGAGACTTCTCCAAATTCATACGCTGAGCAGCATCAGGCTTTGGGCCTGTGTAGTCCTACAAACAGACCGAATTGATAAAGATAAATTAAGACAAATGACATAATGTGCCATTACGTGACAATCTCCTAAACGGCTGGCTCAATTGGGGTGATTTTGTTTTTAACAGAATAAAAAAATATGGAACAAATATATATAATATAGTTAAAACGAAACTACATACATACATTATAACACAAGTTTATTTAATAAACATAAAGTGTAATTTATCAACCCTGCCAGGGAAAGACAACAAACTAATTCAAGTTGCCTATATTTTATCTTTTATAAAAAAAGTTACCCCACATTTTAATTTTCTCGCGTTTACGAACATCCACAAACACTCGGACCCGAAACAACAATTTCTGGATCACACAAAGTGCAGGAATCAAATCCGCGACACGTTGCGCAATAGGCACCCAAACATTGCGCCAACCGTGCAATCAAAATGCATGGTAAAATGATTGAGATTTAAGATCCAGGCCAGGGTTGCGGGGTAAGCGCAATGAGTCACCACGACCTCGGCCCAGAGCAGGAAAAGGTACGGGGTTTTTTTAGTCAGTAAGAGTCTTCCACTCTCTCTCGCCTCACCCTGGGCGGGAGAAGACATTTAATGATTTCCCCCTGACAAACTGACTTAAGATCCAGGATTAAAATACATGACGTGATGATGTTCGTTACCTCATGCAGCGTGTGCACAGCGCTGTCTAGTGCATGCTGCGCGGAGTTTGCAGCCGCCAGGAACGATGCACGCCGCATGCTCTGCTCAGACTTTTCGCCCGCCTTCATTTTGTTGCGAGAACGCTGCGCAACAATTCAAATCTTATTTAGTTACTGATTACCTCGTCAATTCTTTTTTGAAGGCAGTTTAAAAAATCATCTACACTCAATGATATTATAAGTAAAAAGGTGTAGATTGGTTACATAAACCAAATTCGATTTTCAAAAATGACACACTAATGCACACTAGAATAAAGCGTATGATATACGTTAAAGTGGGATGGCATGATTCAATAGGGTCTGCGGACGGCGAGTAAGGGTAGCTCGCCGCCCGACCAGAACTGGACCCGAGCGTACGGCGCGTAGCGTTCCGCGCGCGCCTCAAAGAGCCAATAGACCACCACAGTCGGGGCCCTAAAGGGCTGATGTTTAGCCGGGGCTGCGGGGTAAGCGCAATGAGGCACCGCGACCTCGGCCCAGAGCAGGAGAAGGAACGGGGGGGTTTTTAGTCAGTAAGAGTCTGACACTCTCTCTCGCCTTACCCTGGGCGGGAGAAGTCATTGGATGATTTTCCCCTGACAAAAAAAAAAAAAAAAAAAAAAAATGATTCAATAATCGCGAGTGAAAAAGAGACAAATATGAAAAAGTGTGGCTAGTTAGCCACATTTTAATGTATCACTTGCTGAGCGCTTGTAACCTATCTACAACTTTTTACTTATAATATCATTGTCTACAATAGTCAGATTTTATATGATAGAGATACATAATAATCATCATCAGCCTATAAGTGCCCACTGCTAAGCAAAGACCTCTCCTTACACGAAGAAGGTTTGAGCATTAATCACCACGGCGGATTGGCGATTTCAAATTTACAATTAGAAATTATAAGTCTAACACCCGGTTTCCGAAAGGCCGATCAATGTTAAAATTTTATCGATTTAACAGAAGATTAGTTAATTTTAGATTTGACAAGCTTTTCTGAAACCGGGATGTAAGTTTTCTCACGATGTTTTTCCTTAACCATATGTCAGTGGTGTCAAAAATAAAGGACATAATTATGATACTTTAATTTAACGCGCACGTCGAATTAATTAAAAATCCGAAAATCCCAAAAGAAAATTTAGGTCAAAAGCATTTTTTTATAAATAGGTATAACACATGTTTTAAAAGACTGACCCTGATCAATTCGCTGCGTCTCCTGGTCTTGGGGTCCAAGGAGAAGTACACCTGTGTGGTAAGGTCTGCGATGTTCTCCGCCGCATCCTTCGCGCCCTCACGATCCTGTTCAAAAAGTCAGATAATCAAGTCACCTGACATATCTTCACCAGGGAAGGTTAATGAGGGAGTCCTACACCAATCCTACACTCTAGTCTTTTTCCTTTTAAACTAGGCGCCTCTAAGACTTTTTTTTCTGTGATAGTTCGCCAAATGAGCAAACTGATTACCTGATGGTAAGCAATCAGCGGCGCCTACGAACACTCGCAATAATGGAGAATTTACGAGTGCGTTGCCTACCTTTCGGGGATTAGGGATTTAAATATTTTGGGATTAGGGATCACACGGCGAAACACAGCGCTGTGGTTGTTTCACGTCGGTTTTCTGCGAGGCTGTGGTATCACCTAGTCGTGCTGAAGCATGCCTCTCCCACACTTAAAACATTACCCCCATTATTAAAAAAACATGCTCTGCTATTTAATATTAAGCAAATAACACTTACGAAATGCCCCCGTGTAGTAGCAGCGTCCAACTTGTTCATAAAGTTGTTCAGGTCGTGCAGTTCTTCAAGAAGCATCTTCTTCGCATCCTCAATAGCTTGCTTATCTGCTGTCTCTTTCACACCTAGAATACAGCTTAATGTAAAAACTTGCAATGAGTGTAGATGGCGCTGGTGATGTTTTAAAGCCGAGAAATCTTCGTCCCATTTTTTTGTTAACTGTATTCGCAGACTTTTCCTAAGTGCTTATATATATTTTTTTAAGTATATCAAACTTCTACATTTTTAGGATTTAGATAAAACTAGCAATCGCCTGCGGCTCCTCCCGCGTGGATTTCAATGTTACACTATCTCAATTCTTTAATTTCTTGGCTTACAAACCTTTTCTGGACTTCCTCGAACACATCAACATTAAAATTAGCCAAATCGGTAAAGGCATTGTTTATTAGTTATAACATTACAACGAAAAGTAGCATTGTTTTTATATATAGATACAGATTTACTTATTAGAATTTGTTTTTAATGCTACAGTAAGAATTTTATCTATCGCCCCTTAAATTTATAATTAGGTATTAATTTGGAAAATTTTTTTAAAAAGGCCTAGTTAGATCCCCTTCCTAGACATATTAAATCATCATTCCGTACTAGACTGATAAGGTTTATTAAAGAATTATTCAGTCGCATCTTACCTTTATCAACATCTGGGAAATCTTCTTTCATAGCTCGTACAATCTTCTGGATTTCCTCGTAGTCATGATCAGTGGGATCTGTCGAAATATTTAAACCATAAGTGTCAACGAAATTGTCGCTGAACTGATCTGAATACTGTATTCTAAATAAATAGAGTACACTGTTTCTCTATGAATACTGTACAGTGTATGTACTTCACAGAGTATTTTAAATGAATGCAGTTTTAAAACTGTCAGGAATAACAGAGTCTGAAATAGAGCTCATATGCATTCCCAAACTTGCCAATGTTTTAATCCCTAAAAATCCATGAAAAGCTGTCAACGCCCGTAATATTCTTATGGTTCAGTGGGTGATCATAGGCTGTGCCGATAGCTTACCATCGGTTTATCAGTCGGTTTGATTTATGTATGACCTACCCCATAAAAAACTTACCTGTAAGTAGTCCTACGATCTTCACAGAGTTGGAGTTCATATTGTTCAGTTTCCGGATACAGTCCTTGGACATGTCACCGCGGAGAGGCATTTCTCCTTTCTGTAAGAAATTTTAGACTTAGATTTATATAACACATTTCCGTCTTTCAATTCTAGTAAGTAAAAAATTCGTTTCTAGAGGAATATCTTAGCTAAAACTCCAGGGATTACGGCTAGAGCGGTGCGGTGTAAACGCAATGAGGCACCGCGGCTTCGGTCTAGAGCAGGAGAAGGAACAGGGGTTTTTAATCAGAAAGAGTCTGACACTCCTTCCTGGCCCTGGTCGGGAGAAGTTATTTGATGATTTTCCCTTCGCAAATCACAAAAAGGCTTAGTCAATTAGCAAAAAAAACCTATGGTCTTTCAAAAAGATACCTATGGTCTTTCCTTGTAGTAACAGTAAGGTAAATGATCCATAAATTCTTCGACATTCAAAAATGTTTAACCATCTTCATAATAATGTCGTTGTGATCACATATTATGTGTTTTGGTGCCTTTGCTTGATCCCTTGGAGTATCAATGACAAAATTACATTTATAAAGCTATAAACATACTTACCAGAGCCATTTGCTGGTTCTGAAGATGGTCAGTGACCACAAGCTGCTGCACCGTCGTGATCATTGTACCTGACTGCGGCTGAGAACCTGGAGATAAGTTATATTTCATTATCCGGTCTGCAAGGTTTTGCAGCTCCTAATGTGTAGCCACAAACGTCCACTACTGAACATAGGCCTTCACGACGATTTCAAGGTCGGCTCTGGCCTACATCTAGTAGGCTTCATTATGGGACGTCTATCCACTATCACGATCTTATGATCATTACAGCTATGAGTGCATATAAATATTTGCAAATCTGGCATCTGCTTCAAAGTCAAGGTCAACTTCGCAGGACTAATCAGGTTGGCAGGCGACTTACCATGTTCACTGGTCATGAGTTTATTGGGGCCAACAAACGTCTCTGTCACCACCTTGGACGGGTTGTTAGAGACATGCTGGATCAGGTGACTCCTGAAACAAAGGCAGAACGTCATCATTAACTGCACGGTTCGTGCGGTGGCTGCGCAACTGGCTGTCGCGCCACGTGACGATTCCCGCACGGAACAACTCTTTGGGTGATGAAATTGTATGGTTGTAAACGCACTAGTAGTATCCTAGTGTAAGGCTTTAAAAAAAATATTAGCCACAAGACATTTACTCCTGGACTTAGACCTCGCATAATAACCCCCAGAAACAGAAAAGGTTGCTTGGGAGCAATCTGCATTATTCCATGACCCTTTTTATTAATCAATGTTACTCACGTGCCCTGCTGGACGTTATCATGGCAGATGGCCATGGACTCGCCAGGGTCTCTCGATGGTTTGGCCAGCATCCGCCGCCTGATGATGTCGATGTATCCCTCCAAGATGTCGCGGATACGGTGGCAATCTTGTGTTTTTACACTGTACTCTTTGTCGCTAGGGAAAAATGAAAAAGTTAGTCTTTGTATTTTTTTAGTTGTCATCATGATTGTTTTTTATGTTAGCAGACGGTTAGGACCTGGTGGTAAGCAATTGAAGCTGCCCTTAGACACTCGTAATAACAAAGGAGTTTGGAATTTGAGAATAGGGGACAGGAGGGGGGATTGGGTCTCCGGTAACCTCACTTAGGCGGCGAAAATCAAGCCGGTTTTCTGCGAGGACGTGGTCCGATCGAGCCTGTCCATCATATTTGAGATTGGATATCGTAGACATGGAGAAATATTTCAAGCAAAAACAAGCTAAGCGAATCGGTCGAAAGCAGTTTGTGCTAGTTGTAATGTAGGTTATATTCTATAGCAATTTCTCCAACCAGTTATAGGTTACTAATTACCATGTAGCACGGCCTACTGTAGTAAAAAGACATTAAGTTTACACGCAAATTGATATTCCGGGTGTAGGTTTGGTGTAAAAACGCGCAGATAAGAAAGGACACAGTTTTAATTTTGGATCGACCCGATCAAGCTTGTGTGGGAGAGCCAAGCTTCGGCACGAATGTGTCGACTCGGTCGGAGTGATACCACAGTCTCATAGAAAACTGACGTGAAAGAACTACAGCGTTGTATTTCACCGTGTGAGTGAGGTTACCGGAAGCCTATTACCGCCCCCTCTCCATATCCCTTCCCAATCCTTTAATATCCAACCCCTTATCCCCAAAAGACCAGCAGCTTACTCGTAACTCTGGTGTTGCGGGTGTCCATAGGCAGCGCCGATTGCTTACCATCAGGTAATTCGTAGGCTCGTTTGCCGACCTATTCCATCAAAAGATTAGTTTTTGGATATCATGTGCCTTTTGGAACCAACGAACCTATAATCTCCGAAGTTGAGTGTGAAGGTCTGCGACTTCCCAGCGTGGTAGGTCTTCACGTGGGTAAGCGGCCACTCCTGTAGGATCTCCTTCGTGACCTCGTCCAGACGTAGGATGGCATGGGAGTTGATGCCCAGCAAACGAGGAACCAGCTTTTTCTTGTCTTTTTGTTTTTCCTTTCGCAAAATTTAATTTAGGTATGAGAGCAAATTTTATTTTATTAAATTTTACAGTTAATAAAATAACCATCAAATAGGTTTCGGTGTATATTTGAAACTAAAAAAACTTGTAACTTGGAGTATTTTCTAAAAAAACTTAACCGAACTATAATAGGTTGCTTCTGAATACACCGAGGTTGAACAATGAAACTTGTAAAAACAACCAAAAAAAGGCACAAACTAAAATAAAGTTGGATGACAAGTAACGCCAGAATGTGTGGTACATTCTTCCATGGTTTCAATACCTTGACCAAGAAGAAAGTGACTCCATAAGTAGGCAGCGCTCTAGCAGCCTTGATGTACAGGAACTTGGCTTCCAGCTCGCTTAGCCCCTGATGCTGGGAGAACTCCTTCACAATCTTCTTCTCAATGTTCCACGCATTTAAGTACTGTGCTGGCAGGTACTCCTCGAAACTGGAGATATGGGAGCATATGAGGTTTTTGACAGTGTCCTGACTCTGAACCAGCGAAAAATATACTGGCTAATGATGTCGACGGTAAAACCGCCTATTCAATATACATATGTATGTAAGAGAGATAAATAATTAAATATATATACTACACATAAACGCGAGCAAATTAAGACAAATGTTTGTGGCTTTTCTTCAATCAACTTCTATGGCATTCTGTATTTTTTAGAATAAAATGATCTGGTATCTCATTATGTAAAAGTATCTATAATATTATGCATCCCCCGTAAGGAGGCGTAAAAATAAATTACCATGAACCGACATGCCGTCTGTTTTCAAGAATCTAATCGGTGGATAAAAGCATAAAAACTAACTGCCATTTTCAATTAGTTACGATTAAAGTGCTGGCTATGTCATGATCACGTATATTCTTATTTTGGCTGGAAAATCATCTAATCATCTGAGGCAAGAAATATTGTCAAGCTCTTACTGACTATAAACTACCCCCGTTTCTGCCCCTAATCCAAGCCAAGTCTACGGTTTTTTTTCGTGAAGGGAAAATCATGAAATGTCTTTTTCCGCCCAGGCCAGGTCCTAGAGGAAGTGTCAGACTCTTACTGACTAAAACCCCCCTGTTCCTACTCCTGCTCTGGGACGAGGTCGCGGTGTCTCACTGCGCTTACCCCGCAACCCAGGCTGAACATCAGCTCTATAGGGCCCCGTCTGTGGTGGTCTATTGGCTCTTTGAGGCGCGCGCGGAACGCTACATGCTGTATGTTAGGGTCTGGTTCTGGTCGGGCGGCGAGTCCACGGTACATTAATGCGCTTGCTCCGCAACCCTAACTAAACATCGGTCCTGTTGGACATATTGTGGTGGTCTTTTTGGCTCTTTGATCTAGTATGTATAAGAAGTGTATAGTAAATGGCATACTAATAACTCTTACTACTACTTTTTACTTTACTTACTTCTCGATAAAGCCAGTCTTGTGTTTCTTCTCCTGGTAGTCTCCTAACTGCACTTGGCACTGGATACCCGCGAACTTAATAGCTGCATCCAATAAAAATATATTAATCTTCTTTTTTTGAAAAAAAATTGCTCTACATTAGGATTTTCTCTTGTGCCATGGGTGTGTTTACAAACATACAAAATCACATACACAAGCCGAAACAACAATTTGTGGATCACACAAGGTGTTGTTCCGTACGGGAATCGAACCCGCGACACGTTGCACAGGAGCTTGTTGCCCAGCCACTGCGCCAATCGTGCAATCGCCATCTAATCACAAGTTGTTGTGCTTGATATACTTTTCTTGTGGATGGAAAGTCATCGAATGAGGAATTAACCACCCTGTGCCTACTGCAACTGTTCTAAGCTGGGACCGATGGGTCCATGTATATACTTGGGGATGCAGGAAGCCGGCCGGTATAATAGGGGACTAAACTGGGAAACTACCTTTTGATTAGAAAGCTTAATTATTCCAAGAATTAACATAGTAGTTTGTTTATAGATTACTCGTATTTTTGATGATACAAGGCGGTAATTGATCAGGGCCACCTGATGGAAGCAAATGGCCCTGACCATGGACACTCAACAGACCTCACAGTTGCACTCCCTGCTACTTCAAGACACCCACAAAAAAGGTGGGGATTGTGATAAAAAAAATCGCATATGGGGTAAAACCACACTGCACAAATAAAACAACATACGAACATATTTAAAAAAATAGTATTTATTGTAAAAATCTAATCTAATTTTAAACACTATCTATTACTGCTGCTACCCGGTGTCTGATCATCCTTATTAACGATCTGCTGCAGTTCATAATCCTGGACGACCTGGAAGATCTTACTCTTCGCCTGGTTCAGGTAATAAGGGCTGAACTTCCTCAGGGTCGAGCCTATCGTCAAGAGGAACACGTCTAAAGGATCTGCAGGGTTCAGCTCTTGGAACATTTGTTCTGAGAAGTCTCTTGAAGAATTCGCTGAAGCTTCATCAGTCTGTCTTTTTCTGAATACAGGTTTCGTTTCTCGCGGTTCTTCGAAGTCTAAGGTCTCGTCGACGAAGACTTCGGATGGCATTTCCACTTCACAGGGTTCATCGAGAAATTCTGGATACTCCTCAGCTGATGTGGTCGTTGAGGAGGATTCTCTGAAGTATGGCAACATGAAAGAGATCTCGTCTTCGTATTTGTATTTGTAGCTGTGTGCGTTGGGGTTCCGCAGTCGATCCCTGACCTTCCTCCTCATCATGTCTCTTATGTTGATCCATCTTGACTTGCAGACGAGGGCTGGAAGGGAAGAAAAATGTTTTTAAATACGTTTCAAAAATACTTTAAACATGGATACCTAGTAATGTAAAGAATGCTATGTATTTAATTACCTATTTCATTATTAAATTATTTCTATTTTACCTAATATGTAATAACAAACACACGACTAGAGGTCAAGTGATAATAACCAGTAGAAACTGAACCCTATATATGAGGAAAGTTTATACAAAACAAGACCAAGATATACTGGTTATTGTACTTGATGTCTAGCCGGTACGCATGTTGGTTATTTTCCTGTACCTATTATAAATGATTTAAAAATAACTACAGCTAATAACTGAAAATACGTTTACTAATTTAAAACAGAAGTTAATGTAAAAATCTATACCGAGTAATATTATAAAGAGGTAAAATTTGCAAGTTTGTATGTAGGGGGTAATCTTTGGGACCGCTGGTCAGATTGCCAAAATTCTTTCACTGATACATAGCTACAATGTTCCTGAGTGCTATAGGCTATAAAACATCACGCTACGATCAAATGGAAACGAGCAGCAGGTGAAACCATGCGAGAATAGCTAGTATTTAATACACGGTAACTTCATTAGTTAAAGTGCTTACCGGACGGTCATCAGACAGACCTTTTGACGACCTATCCTATTAAAAAAAATGTACCATAGTAAAAAAATTAACAAACCAAAAACTATAATACATATGAACCTAATTAATTAAATAATATTATCTCTTAACGTTACCTAAAGCATGTTTTATACCTACCTACCTACCTATGTACTAGTATATACTTAATTAGACATTCACGATAACTAACCAATTGAAGTAAAACAATGTAACATACGGCTCAAAGGTTAACACAAGAAGGGAAACATGTAAACAATGTAATTATCAACCTTATAGAATTAAACATAAAGATTATTTTGCAGCGTCTTTCTTAAAAGGAAGGAATTCTAGTCATCGCCTACCTAATAGCGAATCCTATAACAATAATCACAAATATTATGTACTAAGACTAACCAAATAGTCACTATAAAATACTTTATTCAAATCACAACTTTACCAATCAGATAATAGGGTTGAATTAAATAAAAAAAACAACTTACCTGGCCTGTTCAATGAGTCTCCAATTTTCTGCCAAACAACTTCTCTTGAATCAAAATCTAAATATTTCGAATGTTTAGTATTGTATAGAATTGGATTTTCTTTTACTAATTTTAATAGTTTTAAATCTAAGTTCTTGTTGAATGGTAATGGCATCGTGTCGGTATCGCAGCGCCGACGTGACGCGACTGCGCGGCTTGCACAGAGCGGCAACGTCGCGGCCTCGTTACGTGTCGCTCTCGGATCGGGTCTATCGCAACCGGTTGGTTGGTAAGGGCCGGCGCGCATTCCAGATTGTTTTCTTACTTCTAATTATTATTATCGTTCGTAATCATTTTAATAACACTCAAGTTTCGTGATAAGATTGTAGGAGGAGGACAACATATACCTCCTTACCTAATGTAAGGAGGTAAATGTTGTTGGAATGTCATTCAATTATGTTTCACATCAAATTGAATTTAGGTAAAGTGTTTAATGTTGTTTAGTAATCATTTAAGTAGCTCTTTGTTTTCTTTGTAAGTTATTTAGAATTTGATATGAACATTTATTGTGCAGGTTAAGATTGTTTTTTAAAATGTTACTTACTTAATAAAAAATTGTAAGTAATAATATTAAACTAATTAGTTTTACCGAATACGTAATGCCCAACTAAAAAGAATAAGGATAATATTTCTAATCATAAGAATAAAGCCAATAAAATTAAAATAAACCCAGGACGTCTATATTACGTAAAAGTAACAGCATTTCAAAAGACAAAACGCATATAAATATTGAAATAGAATGCGACAAAAAATCGGCGGGAAGTCGTCACTTGTCGGGCAGTGTGCGGCCGCTCCGACGGGGCGACGTAACGATGTGTGTGTGAGCTATCGATCCACCGGTCATTGTACCGCCCCTACTATGAGAACCCGGTGCCTCGAACTCATCTCGAAGTGTCTTCGAATACTTATCACGAAATAAAAATAAAGCTTTGTTTCAAATCTATATGAGTGTTGATTGAGTTTTTTCCTTTTATAAATAAAATTGCAAAAGTAAATCGTCATCTTCATCTATTCCATGTATTTGTTTTGTGACCAAAAGATTAATTTCAATAAAACTCATTCGATATAATTTTAGGCTTTATTTAAAACAAACTAAGAATTATTAGTTATTACCTACCTAAATAGCCTGCATTCCACGTGACAGGAAAATAAAAAAAATATTAAAAGTACTTACATTACCAACTAAACTATAACGCAACTAAAATTAAGAACTCAATTATAAGACTGACTGAATAAAACTACACTTAGAGAGATCAAAAAAATAAATAATCAATTTGTCAAAATCTCACTTCAGTAATATTATCCTTCTAAATATGAAAATTACTTTTATGTCTTACGTCTTAAGGTTTACATTACTAATTTCTAAGTCTTATCCTGAGTAAAAACTTTGTGAACTTGCTATTTTAATTTCAGACCCTTCTGCAGGTGGTCTTTGTCGTTCTACAATCTGCTGCAAGTCGTGATCTTGAACGACCGCGAAAATTTTACTTTTTGCTAAATTCAAGTGATATGGGGAAAATGTCTTCAATGTAGCTCCTATGCTTAGTAAAAACGCATCCACAGAGTCTGTAGCATCCAACTCTGTAGTCATACTTTCGTTGAACACCGGAATTGTGTGATTAACCTCTTCAAAATGCGGCTCCTGTCTCTTTATAGACCTTTTCCTTCTAGTTTTCACTTTTTTCTTCGGTACTTCTAAATCTTCGTCGCTACACTGACGTTCTTCTTCAGGTGGGTCCACCCAGGAGTTAGAAACTCTGTCTTCTTCTTCCTTTTCATCATCCTGTCCCGTTTGGGTTATATTAATATCTTTGTAGAAAGCCTTCATGAAAGTTAGTTCGTTTTCATATTTGTATGACTTCGACGGGTTCGCTGGGTCCATTAAATTTTTCCTCAGTATCCGTCTGTGTACATCTCTTATGTTTACCCATCTTAATTTGCAGTCGGCAGCTGAAATGTAAATAAAATATTGATATAAACAACCTCTTATGTGTTATCTTAGTAAAACACTCACACTTCAGAAATAATATATTGATATTAGAAGTCATTTTAATTGTAAATCACATGATTTAAGTTCTTAACAACATAAACAACATAAAATAAAGAAAAAAGTGAATTGTAACGACTCATTCTTTCACAAAACGAACTCACGTTAATCTCATCGCAACACAGCGACTCGAAGGTGACGCAATCGAAACAAATGGTACTAACAAATCGTGAAATCTAAATATTACTTACCGGGTTTTTTTAAGGCATCTCCTATCATCTGCCAAGCGACTTCCCTCGAGTTGAACTCCATGTATTTCTCATGATTTGTATCGTATAAAACTGGGTTTTGTTTGACAAGGCGTATAAGTCTAATGTCGTGGATGTCGTTAAACATCATGACGTGCGACGGACGGTGCCGTGTGTCGTCGACTCGCCTCGATTCGTCGGCGCCTCGTCGGGTCTCGATCGTTATCGTCACCTCTCACTCGCACAGTTTTGCGTCAGGTTTCTATGGTGACTAGTGTTGTTTATAATTCAATGAAGGTTCTATTTAAGTTTAGTTTTTTATTATTTTGAGAGTGAAGGCTTTATTTGCCGTGTTGTACTAATGAGGTTTTAATTTGGAAATGAATTTGAATTTATTACAATTAATCTTCTTATATATAAAAATGGATCGCAAAATGTGTCGGTAAGCGCATAACTCAACAACGCCTGGACCAATTTTGCTAATTCTTTTTTTGATGTGTTTGTTATTGTCAGGAGGATGTTCTTATTAAAGAATTCTAGAAATATCGAAGGGAAAGCTGGGAAAAGGTGACTCTTTCATTGTTTTAGCGAAAGTTGGACCCGTGCGAAGCGGGGCGGCCTGCTAGTTTAATATAGAAATAAATTCTAAATGTGTTATCTTATATTACGTAAAGTTATTTACTATTAATAAGTTAATATTTATTTCGAGGCTCTACTCTGCCTTTCTTTCTTTACTCAAAACAGTTTACTTATTCACTACTACTTTTTGAGCTCAAATTATTTAAATTCAATAAAAATCTAAGTTTTGTACTTTATTTCCAACAGACAGACGCAGCAAATTTGTTTCTAGGTGATATTAATGATCCATTTAAATCAATTTGTCATTTAGAACAAAAACCGATTAAATCTTCAAATAAGAAAAAAAACAAAATATATAACTCATATCCATCATTCAATCTTTAGAGTAATTTAGGTTCGGAGTATTATGATATTGATTGATTAAATTATCGTATTGATATAATGATTTATATATTTTTCATCTTTGAAATATAAAAAACACAAACATCTTTCACATATTAATAAGTACTTCTAAGTAGTTCTTTGAATAGCTTCACTAAGAGGACTGACCGACAGACTGACACTTTATATCTTTAAAGTTGTGTTGACGTTCAAAAGTGCCTGTATGGGTCTAATTGAAATAAATGATTTTGACTTTGACTTTGACTAGTAGTAGAGTTAAGAGTTGTTTTACGACTCCCATGTAAGCCGGGCAGACAGCATCAGATATGTATCGTAGAGAGCTATCGTATGCGTAGGTTTAGTATCGGGATGTGCTAACAACGCAGTCGGGCGACGCGACGTCGTGATGCGGTCGCGTCGAGAATAAAAAAGAAATAACAAGTATCGTGAAACATCTATTATAAAGAGGTTTTTTTTGTGAGGGGAAAATCATCAAATGACTTCTCCCGCCAAGGGTCAGGCGACTTTGACTTTGAGGGAGTGTCAGACTCTTACCTACTACTAAAAACCCCCCTGTTCCTACTCCTGCTCTAGGCCGAGGTCGCGGTGCCTCATTGCGCTTACCCCGCAACCCCGGCTGAAAGAGGTAAAATTTGTTAGTTTCTTAGTTTGTATGTAGGGGGTAATCTTTGGAACCGCTGGTCGGATTGCCAAAATTCTTTCACTGATAGATAGCTACAATGTTCCTGAGTGCTATAGATAGGCTATGAAACAGCTACGATCACATGGAGCAGCGGGTGAAACCGCGTGAGTGAAGCTAGTACTCATCAAATATATTGATAACTATTTAGCAACCCGTCTCGGCTTCACATGGGTGTCTTTAACTCGGTAACAAAGAAAGCGCCGCTCTTTACTAGTTTTCCCTTCTACTGTTTGTAGGTACACATCACTAACAACCTACTTCTTTTTTGTGAGGGGAAAATTATCTAATGATTTCTCGAGCCCAGGGCCGGGCGGGAGGGAGTGTCATACTCTTACTGACCAAAAACTCTGTTCCTTTTCGTGCTCTAGGCCGAGGTCGCGGTGCCTTATTGCGCTTACCCCGCAACCCCGTCTAAACATCAGCCCTATAGGACCCCGTCTGTAGTGGTCTATTGGCTCTTTGAGGCGCGCACTAACTAACCTACTCCTAGTATTTATCTATTAAAAACAGCAAAAAAGATTGGAGTGCTCACCGACACATTTTGTTATACATTTATACATATAAGTATTTTTTACTCAAAATTTCTTTTAAACAGATAAATAAATAATACAGATTCTAAGTATAAGCCTACTGCTTAAGTAAACTAGTCGTTGTGGTTTAAAACTAGTACTTATAGCTTTTCCAAGTTAGTTAGGTACTTCCCGTAAATATTCAGCTTTATATGAATAAAAAAAAAAACTTTACAATTTAAATGATCAGGCCTAAAGCAGATCTCCTCTTAAGACGGAAAATGCCTGATGTGAAAAAGGATCACTTACAGTAGAAGTTTCAATAGACAACTAGTAAGTTGATAAAAAGTTGCCTTTGTCCTATTCCGGAGTGTATACTATGCCTGATCCAGATCCATGTAGCCGTTTTGGCGTGATTGAGTAACAAACACCCGAACATCCAAGCATCGTAACTTTCGCATTTAACTTAGCTAGAAGTAAGAAAGTACTTAAGATACATAATATCTAATAGGTACGTAAATACAACATATATATAATCCAATATTCCCTTTACTCTGGTCTTTGACAGTATTACAAAAAATAATAAAGTACCTACTTAACACACAACGTGCGAATAAAAACCATAGTATATCGCAATAATATTCAAAATCCACTAACCGAATTAAAGGCATAGAAATATAAGCCTATTATATACCTATTGAAAATATGGTACAGAATCCACTAACCTTCCTGTTCAGTAACTGGATGTGTGCCTTTGAGGATGGTGTCTCTGGTTTGGACGTACAGGAGATGAAGCTGTACTGGATCCCTGGAGTCTACATTACGGTCGGAGTAGTAGAGCCTCCTCTTCAGCAGCAGGGTCTCCTTGGGGTCGATACCCTGTTCCCGAAGAGACCGGTGCAGGTCCAGCCATTGGACTGGAAGCAAATAGAAGGTTACTTATCTATAATTTCTTGTTAAGCATACAAGTTTACCTACACAATAAAAACCACAGACTTATATTTGAATAAGTCTGTGTTAAAAAAGACTCGGAATAATTTGTTTTTTTTTAACTACAGAACTATGACATACCTCCCAGACCAGAAACAACAAATTGTAGATCACACAAAGTGTGTTCAGTCAGTACGAGAATGGAACTCGAAACATGTTGCGAACCAACCGGTTACTAAGCCACTGCTCCATTCATCCTTTCAAAACTACGAGTAAGTAAATCTACAAAGTTTCCACGGTCTAAAAGAAAAACGGCGTGAAACAATACTTACATTGTGTTTTGCCGTATGTGTGAGGTCATCGGAGGCCCAATCCAATCCTCTACCCTCAAATCCCCTATCTCTAAATCCTCAACAACTCACAAAAAGCCGGCAACGCACTTGTAATAAAATATATTACGAGTGTACATGGGCAGCGCCGATTGCTTACCATCAGATAATCCGTCTGCTGTAAAAGACTAGTAGTTTAATGAATTGCTACCATTATCGTCAGTTTTTAGCTTCTTGCTAAGCTGTTCCAGTGCAGCGTCACGCTCCTGCTTGGCCTGCTTCTTTTTAAGCGTCAGGGTGCCCGTACCTTCCTTCACTTCTTTAGCTTCTTCTGTCTCTTCTTCCTCATCATGGCACTGTGTCAGAAGATGTGGTAGGTAAAGAATGGGTACATCGTCATCATCAGACTATAAGTGCCCACTACTGAGCAAAGGCCTCTTCTCACACGGAGAAGGTTTCAGCATTAATCACCAGGCTTCTTCAAGGCGGATTGGCGATTTCAAACTTACATTTACAAATTATAAATCCAGGTTTACTCATGATGTTTTCCTTATAACTTGGAAAACGTAATCATTGGAAGTATATACGCATAACTTGGAAAAAGTCAAAACCTCATGCATGAGAAGCGGGTCACCACGCACGACGTAAGTACAGACGTTACTGACCCTACAGGTGAATATAAATGGAGACTAGTTTGAGGAGGAGAGCGAGGGTATGATCAATAGATGATGCGCTTTCTATGCCATTGTGGTTTCATTGGTTGGATGGTCAATGATTTTAAAATATTTTTTATTCATATTTTGGATACCTACATAAGTCGTTATTCTAAGAAAGTAATCAATCAAAGTAGGTACGAATTGAGAACCTCCTCCTTTTGTCAGTTAAAAACATAATGTTAGTATATTATATGAAAACAGTTTACTTACCAATCCATACTCATCATAGTTTGTGATGCCGATGCGGGCACAAATGCCCATCATCAGCTCGCCCACCGTCTTCGCCTCGTCCACTTGGAGTGTTTTCACCGTGTCTGGGAACAAAGACCATACTTGAAACGATTCTGTGTGGTTATTTTTTACATTGGCCCAATAACTTAAATCTTTTTTTTTAAATATCTTTAAAAAAAAAGATTTAAGTTATTGGACCAATGGCTTTTAAAGCAATGGAGACAGACGATAAATTCACCGTCCAGAAAGACTGCACTATTAATAAATAAAATATGACATTAATAAACATGTTGATATCTAAATTGCGGATCATTCAAAGTAAAGGGCAATTTTACTTGTCGTGTTTTTACGAAAACATTCTTGTTACGATGTTAAACAAAATAAAGCATTTGTTTATCAAAATGATCTCTATCTTATGTCCACACCATTTTGTCTGCTATATTTGATAGGCCGACTAGAAGCGAAGCCTACATCCAGTTGCTTTTTTTTTGTCAGGGGAAAATAACCCAATGACTTCTCCCGCCCAGGGTAAGGCGAGAGAGAGTGTCAGACTCTTACTGACTAAAAACCCCCCCGTTCCTTCTCCTGCTCTGGGCCGACGACGCGGTGCCTCATTGCGCTTACCCCGCAGCCCCGGCTAAAACACGTCTTTTATCAGGTCATCTGCCCATCTTCTATACATAAGAAGAACCGTGCTGGCTTATCAGCCTAATAGACTTATTCTCTTATCTGCTTCGATCAATAATAGTACTATTATTGACCGAAGGTTATTAGCTGAAACTTTATTAACAGTAGGATTTCCTTGTACGTCAGGTCTGCATTAACAAACATACACCAATTGACTTAGTATACGCCACACCTTTTGAATGCACGGTTAGCGCGATAGCTGGTCAATTGACAGCCGCGCAACGTGTCGCGAGCTCGATACCCGCACAGAAATCTCAACACAGATCAACATATTTTTGTTGTGTTTCCGGATCTGGGTGTGGTGTGTAAGTGAAATTGTATGTTTATAAACGCACCCACGACACGGGAGAAAATCATTGTGCGGGGCAACGTTTTAAAAAAAAGAAAAAGACAAAGAATTATGGATAATAAACCACATAGAGCTGCCGCAGGAATTGAAACCGCGCCATATTTTGCAGCAGTCTCATATCCAGCAACCAGCAACTGTTACTTGTCAGTATAAAAATGCGACCTTCAAACCTTCAAGAAACGAGCGTAATCCTTCTTATAAGGCCGGCAACGTAGCTGTGACTCCTCTAGTACTGCAGGTGTCCATGGGCGGCGCCGATCGCTTACCATCAGGTGATCCGCCAGCACGTTTGCCTCCTATACCATAAAAAATAAAGATGAGACGAAAACCATTTCCTCACCATCCAGGAGTTTGACCCTCAGCGTCCTGATCTTGCAGATATAGTCGAGGGCATCTCCATCCCTCAGCATGTAGTAGTCGAGCGTCCTGTTGTCCTCCAGCCATACGCCCGCCAGATCGTTATCAGCAGAGCGGAGGAATAAAGCGTATTCTAATGGAACAGAGTAAAAGTTTAATGATAAGAATATTAATTGGTTGTGTTGTGCAAACTGAACTCATTACAGTTGGGTAATCACGTCAAATTATATAGGGTGACTTGTGATACGGTACCTAATTTGAACATTTGATTGTACTCATGATAAGAATCAACTTCCCCATAGAAACTATTTTTCTATGCTCTTGTTATGTTTGTTATTGTCAGGAAGTGTTTAAAGAAACTTTTCGAAAAGTAAAGCGGCGAGTAGGGGAATATGGACTGGAAGTGCAGGGGCGCGCTGCTAGTTATAGTTATAAAAACAAAACGAATGAGTTTAGATAAATACTTCTTTGGGAAAGTTGTTTGTTATCATAAGAACAATTTGATGATGAATGAGTTAAATGTCAGTCACTAATTACCAGACACCCTTTATATGACTTTAAACTCATCGAGTTACTCATCCAATTTAATCGTCAATCATCAAATCCCCTATCCTACGCGACTGAATGTTGCTCATGAATATGAGCCTCTAGCATGGCTTGAAATTAATCGAGTTCCTCGTCAAATAATTACGTGAGTAAGCCGGAAACATAATAATTAATGTAGTATGCTCATATCCTTAAATTCTAATCAACGCACAAGAGACCGGCAATGCACTTTTTTTTATGGTGTAAGTCGGTAAACGAGCAGACGGATTACCTGATGGTAAGCAATCGGCGCCGCCCATGGACACCCGCAACACCAAAGGAGTTACGAGTGCGTTGCCGGCCTTTTGGGGATGGGGGTTGCGGATATAAGGATTGGGAAGGGATAGGGGAAGGGGAGGGATTGGGCCTCCGGTAACCTCACTCACGCGGCGAAACACAACGCTGTGGGTTGTTTCACGCCGGTATTCTGTGAGGCCGTGGTATCACTCCGGTCGAGGAGACACATTCGTGCCGAAGCTTGGCTCTCCTGCACTTGAAACTTCTTTGGTATAACGAATATCCACCAGCGGCGCTGATTGCTTACCGTCGATAATCAGTTAGGTCGTTTGCCGACCTATGGCATACAAAATAGGTACCTAGTAAGTAGTATGTTATTGGGCATTCTATTCCACTATCGGCAAGTCGCTCGGCGAGTGCGCCTCGCTACCGATAGTGGAATAGAATGCCCAATAACCAATAAGCGACTCGACTCTTTACTCGACCGATAAATTCGAACGGAACAGTTCATTGTGTTGCGTACTTGATTAGGAACGAGTAACTTGTTCCGTACTTCTATCGTTCGTTAAAAATTAGCTACTCTACTATCCACTTGCTTACTGACTCGACCGATCACTCGATCGAGTTTGCATTCGCTGTTAACACCGAATGTCAAAAGGCGATGGCGATTGATGTTGGTGTGTGTATGTGTGTGAGTGTGTAATAAAAAAAATATAAAATTAACTTGTAACCAAAGCGGTAAAGGTTTGTTAGTGTAAATAAGAAACGACTATAAATTAGCTACTTCGTTTAATTATCATAAAACATTGGCTTATCTGGAAACAAAATATCAGTCGCCTGCACGAGCTCTTGTAATTTTCGCCACTGTAGAGAGTCGACATCAGTCTGGAACTTCATTCGGATGAGTGCTTTCTTCCACAGCTCAGCGGAGTCGGTAAGGCGAGCATCTTCAGTCTTGTATACCTTACAGTCGATGTAGAACTCTCCATCGGTGGTCGTTGCGCGACGCTCGCAGCCGCTGGCTACACGGTTTACAATGAATGAAGTTAGATGATCCAGTGAATGTTCTTTGTTTGGGATGTTGCGGTTTTTACTGATGCCGAATATGTCGCTGTCAGTATTGGTTTTCTTACTGAAACAAAAAAAAGATGTTACTAGTTAATGTTTAGTACGAGAAGTACAAGGGGGAAAAATATTATCAACTTGGTTAAAAATATAATTTAATATTTTATGAAAGACAGCTCAGATATTTCCTTAGAAAATGCTCCTCTCCTATGTATAACTAAAAGATTATATGTAATTCAAATGGTAGATACGTGTCCATACAATTTACTTTTATAATTTAACCAAAGGTGGATAGTTTATGAAAAATATTAGTTACCTTGCTCGAGCTGATGTTGTATGTGACTGTATCTTGCGTTTCCCATTGCTTTCTGCGGACGGTTTGCGGCAGGATTTTGCTTTTTGTCCAGTGCTGATCGATGTTGTTGAGTATTCACACTCTGAGTCTGACCTGAAATAAAGATAAGAAGGCTAAATTTAGTCATACAATTATTACTATTTAAGTATGCCAATGGAGTAATATCCATTGCGCAGGGCAAGTGTTTGGACAAATACTGGTTCTCTCATATTCCAATGAAATAGCGCTGCTTGAGAATTTACCTCTAGTGGCAGATCGGTTGAAACAAACATATAAATTAACAAGCGGATCACAAGTACGAACGATGAAAATGAACAGAATATTTTGATATAATAGATATAATAATAATTATTGATACACTTACATTTTTCAATCAGAAGTTCCGCCTGGTTTGGTGATTTGGTTGGTGATGACAGTAACTATATTGTCACCGATATTGTAAGGAACTCGGAGTATTTGTATACTGTTGATATCAGAACACTTCGTTGCACTTTGAAGACTGCGAATACTATGTACCGAATACTTGTAGCTTATAAGTTAAAATTGAATTATAAGTCAAGCATGTTAAAATCCATTAAAGTCAATCTGGTATTGCAGTATTAAAGTTACTTTTTCTATAGTCGTATTATACACATTTGTAAATGAAGACTATATGGTATCATTTTTCGCTGTAACAACAATGTCGATGCAGCGAAATGACCTAGGGCTGACCAAACGATAGCGTGCACGGATTTGTCATACACTACATTGTTTTTATTTTTTTAAAATTTAGTAAATATCTCTTAGGTACTAATTTTGTATTTAACTTTTAGGTACACCGTTGTACACGAACTCTCTGTATTACTGTTTTAAAATGTATTTAGGTGCAATGAAGAGTAAACTAAACGAAGTCTAGCTTAGAAAATATAAACTTATTGTGTAGATTTCCTTAAAACATAAATACATAATTCCTTTAACTACGTCAACAACCACCATAAAATCATGCGAATAATTATTTCTCGATATACTATGATAGATATAAATGGTATTTAGTGTAAAATTTGTATATTGCTAATATATAGATTGCTACCGAGTTATTGCCAACCCTGACTAAAATAGCTGATTATTGCGATTGTGAAATAAGTAATAAGGTTTCGCACACGTGTAAACTATTGGGTAATAACAAATTTTATGATGAAATATTTTATGATTTGTAGACAAAAAATAATAATAATAAAATATAGCCTAAAATATTATTTATTACCTTAAAGGCCTCTCTCGTAGTGAGCACCTTTCTAAATTGTCTGTAATTTTTTTTTAAATATTTGATTGATCGCACACAAGAAAGAATATACGAAAACTTTCATCTTTTGAAAAAAATTTTCGGGACCTGAATACATAATCTACATATTTGGATTACACACATACTTATGTATGAATCATTACATATTGTGCAGGTAATTATCAACAATTAGAACATAATAATAATTTTCTCAATTTCAACTTAGAATTTACAATTATATACTTATTTTTTATTAGTACCTAATAAATTAAACATTTTTTTTTATTTCAGATACCAAACAAATAACTTGTCTTTGCAAAAGTATTTAATTACCTGAAGTTTATCAACATATTATTATTTGGGCCACGCAGATACATATTCTAATGTACGAAACATTTCATTTTTCGCAGGTAATTATTAGATATATTATTTTCCTCGGAACGTACCGTAACCTACCTACTAATCATATAAAGTACCTAATGCATATTTTTTTTTATTTCAGATACATACCGCATGAAAATTATTACCGATTTGCCTGTGAATAAAATTACACAAAGACCCTGGAATGAATATCAAGTTGTACTAATTTTATAAAATATTTTGTAACAATACACCTAAGACCGTGAATATTACTTGTAAGTATTACGTAATCTAATTGTATTGAAGTAATTATAGTAATCTTTGATTTAAACAATAACATAATGCCTCACTGTTCTGATTGCAAAGTATTTGTAGATAATCGTCGTTGGTCCAGTCATTTACGTAGCAATGTACATAAAAACAATAGTTCTACCCCTATTTATGATAATGTTGAAATTATTAATTCTTCTTTTAAAGAACGAATTATAAGTTATAAAATCAAAGCGATGGGTGAACAAATACAAAGTTTTCCAGAGATGTTTCTCAATAGTATAAGTACACAAGTCAAGCATCTAATAGATAAATCAATTCAGAAACACACCTCTGTCAAAATAAACTTCGAACTGTTTGCTTCGTTTCTTTTGTATAAAAATGACCAACAAGAAATAAAATCATTCCGTTCAAACAATTTTATTACACACTATAATTACGATTTTGATTCTATATATAAATTAACTGTTAACTTACTATTAAAAAAAATTGAAGAATTCGAGGAAAGAGATAGTGGTTGGACCTTTTTAGGCAATTCGCACTTAGAATTAAATATTTATAAATATCAACCACTCAGCGGATCTAAATTTTTTACTTTGCCGAAATTCATAAAAAGTAAAAGAGCTTGTTTGAATATTCGGAACAATGATGGGTATTGCTTTTTGTGGTGTGTTGTGGCGGCGCTGTACCCCACAAACAAACACCCTGATAGAATTTCGTCTTATCCACACTTTCAGGATGTTTTAAATGTTAATAATTTAACATTTCCAATTACATTCTCGGACATAGCTATCTTTGAGAAAAATAATCCTTCTGTCAATATATTTGTGTATGGTTTAAAAAATGAGAAGACAATTATCGGGCCGTTGTATACAACGTTGAATAATAAGTGTAATAAGAGTATCCATCTACTGTTTATAGAAAACAATAATAATTCTCATTACTGTCTTATCAAGGATTTATCTCGGTTAGTTAGAAATCAGATGACCAAACATCATGGTAAATTATATTTTTGTGAAACCTGTTTATTATTTTTCCCGACCCTTAAGCAAATTGAATCCCACTTGTGTGGAGGAATTATCACGGTATTACCGGAACAAGGCTCGTTTTTGAAATTTAAAAATTATAATAGAAAGCAAAGTATTCCGTTTGTCATATATGCCGACTTCGAAACGTTACTTGAACCCATTTCTGGTAATGAATCCAACACCGCTAATACGACATACTCAAAACGCCACGTGCCAGCGGCGTTCGCATATAATGTCGTCTCATCAAATAACAATAATACCGTTGAGGGCTATAGAAGTTATCGCGGCAAAGATTGTGTTTCAAAGTTTATACATTTTCTTACTGAGGATGTGAAACAAATACATAAAATAATATCCCAAAACGAGCCTATGATATTCACTGATGAGAATTCTATTGAATTCAAACGTGCCGTAAAGTGTCATATTTGTGATAATCTACTCTTGTCCGATAAAGTAAGAGACCATTGTCATATTACAGGCCGTTATCGAGGTGCAGCACATCGGCATTGTAATTTGTTATATAAAGTACCAAACTTTGTTCCGATATTTTTTCACAATTTATCCGGGTACGATTGTCATCTATTCATAAAACAGTTAGGGGAAATTCCCGGCCCGATCAAAATTATACCCAAGACTAAAGAAAAATACGTAGCATTTACTAAATTTATTCCCGTTGCTGATAAC